TCAAAATTCACTTTAAGAAAACCTCGATCATTATTATAGATCGAATGTTGAGCTGAATGTCGATTGTCTAGCTCAACATTCACTTTGAAAATTCTTTGATTTTTTTATAGATCGAATGTTGAGCTGAATGTCAATTGTCTAGCTCGACATAAGAAATTATCGAATGTCTAGCTGATTGTTGATTGTTCAGCTCAACATTCACTTTAAGGATACTTTGATAATTATTACAGGTCGAATGTTGAGCTGAATGTTGATTGTCTAGCTAGACATAAGAAATTTTCGAATGTCTAGCTGATTGTTGATTGTCTAGCTCAACATTCATTTTGAGAATTGTTTGATTATTATTATAGATCGAATGTTGAGCTGAATGTCGATTGTCTAGCTCGACATAAGTAATTATCGTATGTCTAGCTGATTGTTGATTGTCTAGCTCAACATTCACTTTAAGAAAACCTCGATCATTATTATAGATCGAATGTTGAGCTGAATGTCGATTGTCTAGCTCGACATAAGAAATTTCTGAATGTCTAGCTGATTGTCGATTGTCTAGCTCAACATTCCCTTTGAAAATTCTTTGATTTTTATTATAGATCGAATGTTGAGCTGAATGTCGATTGTCTAGCTCGGCATAAGAAATTATCGAATGTCTAGCTGATTGTTGATTGTCTAGCTCAACATTCATCTTAAGGATACTTTGATAATTATTACAGGTCGAATGTTGAGCTGAATGTTGATTGTCTAGCTCGACATAAGAAATTTTCAAATGTCTAGCTGATTGTTGATTGTCTAGCTGAACATTGATTTTGAGAATACTTTGATATTTATTACAAGTCGAATGTTGAGCTGAATGTCGATTGTCTAGCTCGACATAAGAAATTATCGAATGTCTAGCTGATTGTTGATTGTCTAGCTCAAAGTTCACTTTAAGAAAACCTCGATCATTATTATAGATCGAATGTTGAGCTGAATGTCGATTGTCTAGCTCGACATAAGAAATTTCTGAATGTCTAGCTGATTGTCGATTGTCTAGCTCAACATTCACTTTGAAAATTCTTTGATTTTTTTATAGATCGAATGTTGAGCTGAATGTCGATTGTCTAGCTCGACATAAGAAATTATCGAATGTCTAGCTGATTTTTGATTGTCCAGCTCAACATTCACTTTAAGGATACTTTGATAATTATTACAGGTCGAATGTTGAGCTGAATGTTGATTGTCTAGCTAGACATAAGAAATTTTCGAATGTCTAGCTGATTGTTGATTGTCTAGCTCAACATTCATTTTGAGAATTGTTTGATTATTATTATAGATCGAATGTTGAGCTGAATGTCGATTGTCTAGCTCGACATAAGAAATTATCGTATGTCTAGCTGATTGTTGATTGTCTAGCTCAACATTCACTTTAAGAAAAACCTCGATCATTATTATAGATCGAATGTTGAGCTGAATGTCGATTGTCTAGCTCGACATAAGAAATTTCTGAATGTCTAGCTGATTGTCAATTGTCTAGCTCAACATTCCCTTTCAAAATTCTTTGATTTTTATTATAGATAAAATGTTGAGCTGAATGTCGATTGTCTAGCTCGGCATAAGAAATTATTGAATGTCTAGTTGATTGTTGATTGTCTAGCTCAACATTCACCTTAAGGATACTTTGATAATTATTACAGGTCGAATGTTGAGCTGAATGTTGATTGTCTAGCTCGACATAAGAAATTTTCAAATGTCTAGCTGATTGTTGATTGTCTAGCTAAACATTGATTTTAAGAATACTTTGATATTTATTACAAGTCGAATGTTGAGCTGAATGTCGGTTGTCTAGCTCGACATAAGAAATTTCTGAATGTCTAGCTGATTGTCGATCGTCTAGCTCAACATTCACTTTGAAAATTCTTTGATTTTTTTATAGATCGAATGTTGAGCTGAATGTCGATTGTATAGCTCGGCATAAGAAATTATCGAATGTCTAGCTGATTGTTGATTGTCTAGCTCAACATTCACCTTAAGGATACTTTGATAATTATTACAGGTCGAATGTTGAGCTGAATGTTGATTGTCGAGCTCGACATAAGAAATTTTCAAATGTCTAGCTGATTGTTGATTGTCTAGCTAAACATTGATTTTAAGAATACTTTGATATTTATTACAAGTCGAATGTTGAGCTGAATGTCGATTGTCTAGCTCGACATAAGAAATTATCGAATGTCTAGCTGATTGTTGATTGTCTAGCTCAAAATTCACTTTAAGAAAACCTCGATCATTATTATAGATCGAATGTTGAGCTGAATGTCGATTGTCTAGCTCGACATAAGAAATTTCTGAATGTCTAGCTGATTGTCGATTGTCTAGCTCAACATTCACTTTGAAAATTCTTTGATTTTTTTATAGATCGAATGTTGAGCTGAATGTCGATTGTCTAGCTCGACATAAGAAATTATCGAATGTCTAGCTGATTGTTGATTGTCCAGCTCAACATTCACTTTAAGGATACTTTGATAATTATTACAGGTCGAATGTTGAGCTGAATGTTGATTGTCTAGCTAGACATAAGAAATTTTCGAATGTCTAGCTGATTGTTGATTGTCTAGCTCAACATTCATTTTGAGAATTGTTTGATTATTATTATAGATCGAATGTTGAGCTGAATGTCGATTGTCTAGCTCGACATAAGTAATTATCGAATGTCTAGCTGATTGTTGATTGTCTAGCTCAACATTCACTTTAAGAAAACCTCGATCATTATTATAGATCGAATGTTGAGCTGAATGTCGATTGTCTAGCTCGACATAAGAAATTTCTGAATGTCTAGCTGATTGTCGATTGTCTAGCTCAACATTCCCTTTGAAAATTCTTTGATTTTTATTATAGATCGAATGTTGAGCTGAATGTCGATTGTCTAGCTCGGCATAAGAAATTATCGAATGTCTAGCTGATTGTTGATTGTCTAGCTCAACATTCACCTTAAGGATACTTTGATAATTATTACAGGTCGAATGTTGAGCTGAATGTTGATTTCTAGCTCGACATAAGAAATTTTCAAATGTCTAGCTGATTGTTGATTGTCTAGCTAAACATTGATTTTAAGAATACTTTGATATTTATTACAAGTCGAATGTTGAGCTGAATGTCGATTGTCTAGCTCGACATAAGAAATTATCGAATGTCTAGCTGATTGTTGATTGTCTAGCTCAAAATTCACTTTAAGAAAACCTCGATCATTATTATTGATCGAATGTTGAGCTGAATGTCGATTGTCTAGCACGACATAAGAAATTTCTGAATGTCTAGCTGATTGTCGATTGTCTAGCTCAACATTCACTTTGAAAATTCTTTGATTTTTTTATAGATCGAATGTTGAGCTGAATGTCGATTGTCTAGCTCGACATAAGAAATTATCGAATGTCTAGCTGATTGTTGATTGTCCAGCTCAACATTCACTTTAAGGATACTTTGATAATTATTACAGGTCGAATGTTGAGCTGAATGTTGATTGTCTAGCTAGACATAAGAAATTTTCGAATGTCTAGCTGATTGTTGATTGTCTAGCTCAACATTCATTTTGAGAATTGTTTGATTATTATTATAGATCGAATGTTGAGCTGAATGTTGATTGTCTAGCTAGACATTGAATGTCGATTGTTGATTGTTGATTGTTTAGCCAAGTTATTGCACATAGGCATGCGTGATATTTTAACTGACTAGGAAGTTGCCTATCTCTGTTATCTATGTCTCTGCCAGAACTAATTTATAGGACTATTGTCTGTTTACTGTTTACTGTTTCCTTGGAGTATTGTAAGCACTTCTGTGCTTGTTGACTCCCTCGATCTCATGTTTACATTTGGTGTTCCGCTTCCGGTTGAAAAAATCACGCGGAAAAGTACGCGTCTAGGAATATATATCTTCCAGGTCAAACCTTTGATTCTGCCATGCTTTATCCAATTTACATTTGAATGAGTTAACACTATTGCTACAAACTATCGTTTCGTCCAGGTCATTCCATATATATTGCACGAGCAGGAAAAGCATTTAAGCGTATAGATTTTACACAACGGGGTTTGTTAAGGCGATATATGTGCCCCCTAGTGGGATTGTCATTAAACGAGAGTAACTTTTCACAGTCAAAATCTTCTAGACCATTAATTAGTTTATACAACTCAATCATATCATACCGTTTTCTCTTATACAGCATCGTTGGGAGATTAAGTTCTTTCAGTCTTTCAGAATAAGAAAGTCCTTTTAACTCTGGAACTATACGAGTTGCACGTCTCTGAATATTCTCAATGAGTTGGCTATTTTTCTTCGTACTTGGGAACCAAACAATGCACCCGTAGTCAATGATGGATCGTACCAAACCTTTGTACAGTGTTATAAAAAGTTTCTTATTCATAAATTTAAAAGATCTCTTAATTAAACCAATGAGTCTGTTACATCTATTTACCACACTTGCAACATGATTATTAAACTTTAAAGAACTTACAAAGTGATTCCGAGGTCTTTTTCTTCTGTGCATATTGGAATTTCAATAGTTTGTTTTTTACTGTCTCTCATGTGATATACATATTTATGTTTAACATTTCCATACTGTATAAATTTACATTTTGGCACGGAAAACTGTAACAGCCACTTGTCACTCCAGTCACATAATTTCATCAAGTCTTTTTGAATTACTTGTTGGTCATTTGGCGAACTAATTGGTAAGTAAATCTTACTGTCGTCAGCAAAAAGTTTACAATATGATTCAAGGCTGTCAGGCATATCATTCATGTATAAGATGCAACTTATGATAAGATATAAAATAAATGGATAAAGCGGTTTTAATTTGCCAGTTTACAGGGGCTGATCAAGCTGGATTAGGGTCTAACCCCCAAGTGTCTGTGATTATTGCATCGGGAGCGAAAGGTTTAGGGGCCGAAACGTTCTGTTCATTGCTTTTCATCACGAACCTTTCCCTTAGTAAAGGTGCCATTATCTTCTAGAATTGCCCAATAAATTTTTTATACCTTTAATGTAACATCGCATAATTTCCCTTGTCTCCTTATTTCTTCAAAGACTGGAAAAGCCAAATTTGGTAGGTCATTTTTCTGAAATACCTCAATTTCGTCCGCCATGTTTGTTTTTAATACATTCGTAATACTTCGGTCCTTTCCGTCAATTCAGCATTTTTCCGTAGACTGGCCCCCTGCGCACTTCTAAAATGTACCATAATGGAACAGGGAACCAGATTAAATTTTCCGGAGAATTAGTTGGGGAAATTCCGTGACGTCACGTGACCTAGTATAATTCCAGCCTGTATAATTCGTCTGAAAATGTCGTTTCTTGGAGTGTTTCGTCGATTGTCTGCATCAGGATTGCAAAATGCTCCAAAAATTGTAACCTTGACTAAATCGTGCTGTAAAACGCAATGTTTAACTGCAGTTTATCGATGTAAGTTCAAACTTTTTCATATTCGATGCGATATTCATTCTAATTTTGACTTGTGTGTCTGTCATTGTGATCTGACCGAGTTTTTAAAACGGTCAATTCGTCCCTGTGCCAACTCGGTCCACTATTTTAAAACTTTTTTTTTTCATTAAAGGACATCTTAAAACATGCCTATTTTTGACCATAGACTTATAAGGTGTATTATTATATTTTGTTTGTAAATATTACAATGTGATTGGACTCATAGGTGTGCGGCGCGTTGATTGGTCACTACCCTCGGGCCAACTCCCCCCCCCCTCACCCACTCTACAACCCTCCTATACCTCTCAAAACCATGTAAACTGCAGTATTTTTCATATTATACATGTTTTAATATTTGTTATATATGCTTTTAATTCAATTACCTTCATCTCCCACAAAAAATAAAAAAATGATATATATATATTTAGTAAAGGTATGCAACTCGCCGCTCATTTTTCAGCACTCATCTTAATATGAACTCCATAACTCCAACATTTTTTCACCAATTTTCATTATCTTGGTACCAAATGGTAGGGAATTGATTACTCTTAAAGGAATTTAAACTGTCATTACAATCATTTCAAGTTTTAAGAAGATATGTAATCTCGAAGTCACCGCAAGTGTAACTCGACAGAGACCTGACCGCTGGGTTTTTGTCAAAATTACCCGACTAAACTGCAGTTTATTCGAAATGAGTGAATATTTTTTGTATTGCGCATATATATATGATCAAATTATATTATTATTTCTTCTTCTTCCGGGTAATGTGCTGGGCCCCTCTGGAGCATCGTCGCACAATAATATTTGTAATAACTGTTCAATGAAAACTTCATAAAATAATAAAAAAATAATGAAAATAAATAAAAACATTATCTTGCATGAAAATATTGAAATCATGTCAACAAAGATGTTCTAAATATAGTACACAACTCTACTCTAATCGGTTCCCGCGAATGACGTCATACGAAGTCTCGCGTGGCACCTAAATGTCATGGCTGACTGTATTTGGCGTTATTGATGTTTTACAGTTAAATAGGCAATTTTAATGACAGTATTAATATTTTGATACATTAATTGGTAATGTTAAAATAATTGTTTTATCGTTAAATGCACAAGAATTGATTGGGTCAAGTGTATTTGCAAGTGTAGTCAGTGAAAAATAAGGTTAAATCAACTTATGTTATTCTGGTTAGGTTTCTTAACGGGTCTTAATAAATCCAAAACTTTAATGCCGCGTCAGATGAAAACAAAAATGTTAAATAGCGGCTTATAAAGTTTTGGAAGCCAGAACTATGATTGTAATGACATCTTTATTTCCTTTAAGAGTTATCAATTCCCTACCATGTGGTACCAAGATTTTGAAAATTGGTGAAAAAATGTTTGAGTTATGGAGTTCATATAAAGATGAGTGCTGAAAAATGAGCGGCGAGTTGCATACCTTTACTAAATATATATGTATCATTTTTTTTTTTTGTGGGAAATGAAGGAAATTGAATTAAAAGCATATACCAAATATTAAAACATGTTTCATGGGGCCTCAAAAAAAAAAATATTAAAATTTGAATAAATAAATTTTACATCATAAAAAAACAACAAAATATACTATTTTAAAACTAAAAATTCATGTAGATAAATAAGACAAGGAAACAGAAAAATGCTAGACTTGAGAATCTATCCTCAGCTACTTTTAACATTATGTGATTTTACCAAAATTATATTATTTCTTCCTTATCGCACAGTGCAAAATATTTCGACTGCAAGACCAACCAATTTTACAATCTGATATATTACATAGATGTCTGCCTTTACCACCGTTGTTTATATAATAAAAAGCCCTAGAGCGCAAAATTTATTTGGCTAGGTGCAAGGGGACTCAATGCAGTGTTGGGATAGTGTTAAAGAGGAGAAAATGGTTTGGGGAAGGAACTGGTAGTCTGTCCTTCTGATTCAGTACGTCCTGAAAAAGAACAGAAAATGTTTTTGTAGTTGCAATATGCTTCAAAGTAGCTGTGACATAAAGGAAACAAACTGGTGACTAATCACACCCCTCAGTTGGCTTTCATCAGGCCACACATGTGATCACTGACTGCTCTTGTTTTTTTCTTTTTAAGCTTCAGTTTTCTGTGGTATAAGGCAAATTTTTAGCTTTTTAAGATTTTTTTGCTTTCCAGCCCTGGGCTTTTTAGCTCACCTGAGCATGCTCAGGGTCAGCTTTTAGGATCGATGATTGTCCGTCGTCCGTTCACATTTAGTTGTTAACACTCTAGCGGTCGCATTTTTGCCTCAATCATCATCAAACTTGGTCAGGATGCTTATCTAGTTGATAGCTCCGATGAGTTCGAACATGGGTCATCTCGGATGAGAAACTAGGTCACAAGAGCTAAAAGTAGAAAAACCTTGTTATCACTCTAGAGGTCCCATTTTTGCCTCAATCACAGTCTGCGAAAAATACGCAAAGCCCGAGCCCGAGTCTAGTAAAAAATCATTCGGGCTAGCTAAAAAGGCAGGGCACATAGTCCGACGGTCTTGCATTGTTTGGGAAACCGAAATGATTATAAATAGAATTTTAAACACAATGACTGGGAGGGATATAACATATTGATTTTCTTCGAGGTATTGACACGGGATTTTCCAATATACGTCGATACTATTTATAACCGCCGAGAGGGGTATAGCATATTGATTTTTTTCGGGGTATTGACACTGGTATTTCCAAAACGCCAGAGGGGTAAGCTTATTGAAATAATGCAGACATTTTAAGCCAATCAAATACCGCGTTATTAAAATGTCAAAATGGCGCACATAGATGCATGTATTATAGCAAACTCCTCACACTGATTACCTCCCTTGGCAGAATTGTAATCTCTGTACTGATAAGGGGAGATCACTGCGTAGGAGATTGGTATTATAGAGCAAGAGCAAGTTTCTGATATCAACACAGACAAACCTTTAGAAAGTTCTCCTCCAGAACAAGTATTTGCTGAAGAGGTATATTGCTACTTTTTGAAACATTTTTCATGAAGTTGTTAATTGTTTACTATTAAAAAAAAACAAAAAAACAAGCAACCAGAATTCAGCTCTTTACCTTTACAACCCGTATTCAATTTTATACTGCAGTCTAGACTAACCATTTTTTTTGTATTTTGATACTGAAATCACTTAAAACTTTAAATAATAATTATAAATTGACTGTTCCGATTTCAAAGAAAAGCTATCCATTTCACAAGTTTGCCATGTTAGCTTAGGTTTGAATTTTAATATACTTATAATATTAAAAAGTAAAACATTTGTGTTGTTTTGAAAAATTTTATTCTTATTTAATAACAATGAATTTCACTTTATTTTCCGTAATATTTTCAGCATCATAACCACGGGGAATGTTGACAGAGACAGCGACTCGGATTATGATTCTGGGATAGATGAAGATGAGCCTATGGAAATGAGTCAACAAGAAGTTGAAAGAAATCTATTATCTTTCAGTGTAGAATATCAGAAATAAATGTTATTCAACTGACAAAGCTTTTTATCAATTTCTTCACAATATATATAAATTTGGAAACCTGGCCAAATTATGAAAAATTTTGTATGAATTTTCGGGCTACCTAAAATTTGTTCGGGCTATGTGATATTTTAATGGACCAAGCCCGAATGTCTTTGTCCATAAAAAGTTTTTCGTGCAGACTGCAATCATCATCAAACTTGGTCAGGATGTTTGTCTAGGTGATAGCTCGGATGAGTTCGAACATGGGTCATCTCGGATGAAAAAGTAGGTCACCGGAGCTAAAAATAGAAAAACCTTGTCAACACTCTAGCTGCCACATTTTTGCATCAATCATCATCAAACTTGGTCAAGATGCTTGTCTAGGTGATGGCTCGATGAGTTCCAACATGGGTCATCTCGGATGAAAAAGTAGGTCACCGGAGCTAAAAATAGAAAAACCTTGTTAACACTCTAGCGGTCACATTTTTGCATCAATCATCATCAAACTTGGTCAAGATGCTTGTCTAGGTGATAGCTTGGATGAGTTCAAACATGGGTCATCTCGGATGAAAAAGTAGGTCACCGGAGCTAAAAATAGAAAAACCTTGTTAACACTCTAGCGGTCACATTTTTGCATCAGTCATCATCAAACTTGGTCAAGATGCTTGTCTAGGTGATAGCTCGGATGAGTTCGAACATGGGTCATCTCGGATGAAAAAGTAGGTCACCGGAGCTAAAAATAGAAAAACCTTGTTAACACTCTAGCGGTCACATTTTTGCATCAATCCTCATCAAACTTGATCAAGATGCTTGTCTTGGTGATAGCTCGGATGAGTTCGAACATGGGTCATCTCGGATGAAAAACTAGGTCACAGGAGCTAAAAATAGAAAAACCTTGTTAACACTCTAGTGGGCACAATTTTGACTCAATTGTCATCAAACTTGGTCAGGAAACTTGTCTAGGTCATTGCTGGGAATAAATAAACATGGGTCATATCGGATGAAAAAGTAGGTCACCGGAGCTAAAAATAGAAAAATCTTGTTAACACTCTAGTGGCTACTGTTGTGATCCAAATATTCTGTTAATTGGTCTGAAAGTTTGTTTTGATGATTTCTAAGTCAAGTTCGAACATGGGTCATCTTGGATGAAAAACTAGGTCACACCGCCCAAATATGGAAAAACCTTGTTAACATTCTAGTGGTCACATTTTCGACCCAATTATCATCAAACTTGGTCAGGATTCTTGTCTAGAGGTAATTGCTTGGATGAGTTCGAAATCGCATGTGGAACTAGGTCACCGGAGCTAAAAATAAAAAAATCTTGTTAACACTCTAGTTGCTACTGTTTTGATCCAAGTATCCTAGAAATTGGTCTGAAAGTTTGTTTTGATGATTTCTAGGTCAAGTTTGAATATGTGTCACCTGGGTAAAAAACTAGGTCGCACTGCTCAAATATGGATAATCCTTGTTAACACTGTAGTGGTCACATTTTTGACTCACCTGTCATGAGACTTAGTCAGAATACTTGTCTAGGTAATTGTTTGGATGAGTTTGATAAGTCAGGTGAGCGATCTAGGGCCCTCATGGCCCTCTTGTCTTAAAATTGCTGGATGATGCCCTGTGGATTGCAAAAATATAGCATAAGTCAAACTGTCGAAGTGCACAGAAAATGTTATTGTATTTGTAAAAAGTTTAAAAAACTAAACAAGCATCATATACCCAAATATCTAGTCTTACTTCCTTATTCATATTGTAGATCTGTACACAAAACAATTTGACTTTACCTATCAGTATCTTACCCTCAAACAGATTGAAGTACTGTATAAGTTTATTGCATTTGTCCATTTATAGGTTACTCACGTCCTGTAACACATGAGGAGCTGAGAAATCTCACTAAGGCAGAATGGGAAGAGAGACTATCACCAGAGCAGTTCTCTGTTTGTAGGGAACAGTGCACAGAACCAGTAAGTTAAATCTTAAAATTATCTCACAATCATTTAACAGTGTGAAAGTGTATTTATTGTTTGTACTTAATGTATTATTTAAGAAAAAGAAAAAAGTTGATTAAGAGTTGATATAAAAAGTTAAATAAAATGCATAGAATTTTCCTTATGTCAAAACTGAAAAAGGGTATTTAAATTATTATTACCATGGAGACAAATGCGGAATGGCAAAATGCTGCTGAAACCCAGAGACAAATCAAAATAACTTACTAAAGAAATGATGAAGATGGAGATGCAAAATCAATATAACTTACTGAAGAAATTATTACTATAGAAATGCAAATCAATATAATTCACTGAAGAAATTTATATAATAACCAATGAGATGCAAATCAATATAACTTACTGAAGAAATTATAATCATGGAAATGCAAATCAATGTAACTTACTGAAGAAATTATAACTATGGGGATGCAAAACAATATAACTTACTGAAGAAATTATAACTTAAAATGCAAATCAATATAACTTACTGAAGAGATTATATTCATGGAAATGCAAATCAATATAACTTTCTGAAGAGATTATAATCATGGAAATGCAAATCAATATAACTTACTGAAGAAATTATAAATGGAAATGCAAATCAATAATTATATAACTTTCTGAAGAGATTATAATCATGGAAATGCAAATCAATATAACTCACTGAAGAAATTATAACCATGGAGATGCAAATCAATATAACTCACTGAAGAAATTATAACCAGGGTAGCTTAAGGGCTTTCGTGTACCTGTTTTTAGCTCGACTATTCGAAGAATATGAGAGCTATTGTAGTCGCCCCGGCGTCGGCGTCGGCGTCAGCGTCCGCGTCGGCGTCTGCGTTGGTTAAAGTTTTTTTGTAAAGTCAAATATCTCAATTATTGCTTGAGATATTCAATTGAAACTTACAATACTTATTTATAGTAACAAGGTACATCAGATTGACAAGTTGGATAACTCTACCTACAATATTGACAGAATTATGCCCCTTTTTAACTTAGAAATTATGGTTAAAGTTCTTGTAAAGTCAAATATCTCAATTATTGCTTGAGATATTCAATTGAAACTTACAATACTTATTTATAGTAACAAGGTACATCAGATTGACAAGTTGGATAACTCTGCCTACAATATTGACAGAATTATGCCCCTTTGAAACTGAGAAATTTTGGTTAAAGTTTTTTTGTAAAGTCAAATATCTCAATTATTGCTTGAGATATTCAATTGAAACTTACAATACTTTTTTATAGTAACAATGTACATCATTTTGCAAAATTGCATAACTCTGCCTACAATATTGACAGAATTATTTGCCCCTTTGAAACTTAGAGATTTTGGTTAAAGGTTAAAGGTCTTCAAAGATATTTACTTGAAACTTTACACATGTACTAAGGGTCATAATTGTATGTCACTGACCAAGTTCCATAACTCTATCTTGCATTAAGGCTGATTCATATCCCCTTTTCTACTTAGTCTCTTGGTTAATGTTTACATGCAAGTTTTACATATCTCAATAACTATTAAAGATATTTATTTAAAACTTCATATATGCATTTAGGGTCAGAATTGTAGGTCACTGACAAAGATCCATAATTCTATCTTGCATTTAGGCTGATTTTTCTTCCCTTTTTCAACTTAAAAAATTCATGGTAAAGTTTTGCTTGTAAGCTGTTATCTCCATAACTACTGAAGGGTTTGTGCCTTTTTTGGGACAATTTTATGCATTCATAATAATAAAGCAGTGATTTACTTGATAAAACATCTTAATAACAAGCCTTTGTACCTTTTCTGTCAATTTTATGTATTCATAGGTAATTAGTATTATTATACTCAATAAAACACCCTTGTGACATTACCTTCCAAATAGTCAAGCCAATACTGTATAATTATACTCTCTCTAAGGCCTATAACATGAATTTATAAAAAAGAATTAGCCCTTTTGTGAACTTAGAAAATTTAACATTATCAAGGCTCTTTTACTATCAAGCACTTAGAATAGTCGAGCGTGCTGTCCTACCGACAGCTCTTGTTATACTTGACTGGACATCTATTGCCACATCAGACGGGAAAAAAAAATATTTAAAAAGTGGCTTATAACATTTTGGAAGGCAGGTTTATAACCATGGAGAATCAAATCAATATGACTAGCTGAAGAAATACAATAACCCACAATAATATAGAATAAAACATTATATACACTGTTTTGAAAAAATGTCATATTGTAATGTCTGTTATAGAAATTGAAATATAGGATTCTTTCAAAACAGCTCATAAAGGTGTTATAGAAATTGAAAAATAGGATTCTTTCAAAACAGCTCATAAAAGTGTTATAGAAATTGAAATATAGGATTCTTTCAAAACAGCTCATAAAGGTTTTAATGATCTATATATGATAAGTGTATGTGCTGGGATTAACAAATATACACTTTATTTAGATTTTAATGTGTTTGAAGCTCCACACTCCCAAGTGTCAGTCTGTGATAATAAATGAAATAATTTTTAATCTTGAAAGCCTTTGTACTCATATTTTCTTGTCAATGAATAAATTATTTCAAGGGAATCCTTTTGGAATGAAAATACCTTTTCAAAGAAAAGCAACAACAACATTAATACTTCTGATTCCCCTTCGTAATTGTGTTATTGTATATCATATTAAAATAAAATATATCTATCAATAATTGGGAAAAAACATATGTTTCCATTGAGAATGTATCCGTTTAATTGTAGAAAAGTACATAAGGAAAAAACAGCTTGAATATAAACTATCAAAAGAAATAAAGACAAGGTGTCACATATAATAAATTTTACACTGCTTTTGCCATTCCAGCAATTAGAGCTGCAATTTTATGTGCTTCCTCTTTAAAAAAAAAACTTTTTTGAGGCTGTTTCCTCATTTGAATTTGATCTACATGTAGTTTTCATTCTTAAGGTAACTTAGTCTCATTATTTTCATACCAATATATGACACTGATGTTAAAGGGACACATTATTTTTGAGAAAAAAAAATTGAGAAAGGTTTAAGTTAAAGTATAGGTATAATATAGCAGGATTTGGCCGTAAGCCTGCTGGCTGCAACTGAAGGTATTCAGAGTTGCAAAATCAATTTTTCCTATATCCCAGGTTGTCTCAATTAGCTTGTACAGACAAGTGGAAATTCTTGATAATTTACTAAATTTTCAAAAATTTACTAAATTAATATGAGCCGCGTCACGACAAAACCAACATAATGGGTTTGCGACCAACATGGATCAAGACCAGCCTGCGCAACTGCCCAGTCTGATCAGGATCCATGCTGTTTGCTTACATTTAACCCTATAACAAGTAGAGAAACTGATAGCGAACAGCATGGATCCTGATCAGACTGCGCGGATGTGCAGGCTGGTCTGGATCCATGCTGGTCGCAAACCCATTATGTTGGTTTTGTCATGACGCGGCTCATATCATTTGGACAAGTTAAAAAATGCTTGAGATAAAACATAAGTCAAAGTAAATCAAATAAGATTTTGGGGACCCTGACACTCATGCCACCAATGCAGACCAAGATCAGCTGGCACTTCAGTACTTACAAAAAATTTTTCCCACAGAGTGATAAATGGTTTTGTCGAGATTGAAAGATGTACATGTGTATTTTAAGACGTGTATTATGCACGAATGGCACTATTTCTTGTAATGATGCTATCATTTGTATTATCTCAGTTATGTTGTGCCATTTAAGAAAGCAATTTATATTATTTTGTCCTAACACTGTTGTTACACTATGTAGCAAAATATGCATGTTTATTTAACATATTAATATGTAAAGCAAATGTAAAGGTAAGATTTTTTCAAAGCAGGTGTTTGAAGTTAATGTAAGTATTATGATTCATATTTTTACATTATGAATGATTGTGATAGTTTACATCACAATCATTATTTTTAAAATAGATATTTTCATATTTTATATTAAAATTTTTGTTTTTAAATGTAGATTTTAAATATAATAGTTTTATTTTGGTAACTTTAAAATAGTTACAATTTTACTTAAAAATAGTGTTTTTTATTTAAGTTTTATTTTATGTAAGCTGTCCAACAAAGACTTGCTAAAGTAACTTTATATTAAGCTTAAAGCCAAGCTACATTAAATAACAATTAGCAATTAAACAAACAAGTCTTAATAAGTGGTCAGCTTACTCCTTTTTTTTTCCATTCTTATTTAAATGCCTAAATATATAGTTAAACAAAAATAGTAACTTTTGCAAAAAATCATTCTAATGTTTTTTTTTTAGGACATTTTATACATTAATGTTTATTTGCATATGGTTTAACAAAGTTGAACAAAACTTCCAGCTTCAACTGTCCCAGTATTATTTAAAAATTGGACGTTGAAGTAATAAACTGGATTTTTAATATATAAAGTGTTAACTCTGTTATTTTAGGTATGTACATTTATTATATTTTATAATTTATTAAAGTTTATAAACTTTATTCTAAATATGTAAATTAATATTATTAAATTGTTAGGTACTATGTAATAGTATAAATATTTGAATTGTTAAAATGGTACCTCTTACGCAAAGTAAGTTATTTAAAGCTAATTTCCCCATATTTGTTAATTAAATGTTTAAACTATTGTTAATTTAAATATTGTATTTTTATAATAATTTATTTAATAATGTTGTAAAATGTTATTTATGTAATCATTTAAAAATTGGACGTTAAAGTAATAAACTAAATTTTTAAAATATAAAGTGTTAACTCTGTTATTCCAGGGTTTCGTCTTAAAGGACTTAAACACAGTCTGCCCATGAGTAATTAATAAAAAAGGCCAACTGTCGTAGGATCATAAAATTCTGGTGAATTCAAGAATACTGGAAAACACATACCAAAACTGGTAGAAAAAAAAAACGTAAAACCAATGTGTTCTTCCATAAGAAATAAATAAGCCCTAAGCATACACAACAATGAAAATAAACATTACTCATTAGAATCTATAAAATCCTAAATTGTTAGGTATATTAGGACTGATCATCTAAATTCAAAATTATTTTCCCTTTAGTGAGATAATATTTTATTATGAAGCTCTGATCAAGTTTTCATAAATTTCACTATTGGTATATTTTTCCCCCTTCTTTTTTCAATAGGTTCAAATTGAGTACCACTCTTTTGTTGTTCAAATTAGTGCTCCCAAATAGTAGCACCTTAGGCTTATTCTGTTGTATTCTTTATTTACAAATTTAAGCTGCATCTATAGAATGAAACTCCCTGTGTGCCAGTCACAAAATATTCATTTAACATCAGCTATCTGTAAAAAAAAATTTTCTTCCAAAAATGACCATGTTTGTAATTAATTACAAATGTTCATTTATAAATGCATAACCTTGCAAAATTTGTATTAATATTCCTACCAATTGCATAATCTTGTATATTTTTGTGTATTGTATACAATAAAACATATCTATGTATTGTTTATTTTAGGTATACTTGTTTACAAAGTAAACAGACCACAAGGTCTTAGGTAGTTAACACAAGTCCTACTAAATAAAAGCTAGCAAATAACAATAAAGGTTAACACAAGTCCCTAATACTAATCTTATTATTGTGCACAATGTAAATAAATTTTTGTCTTTATCCAAAATGTGTGTATCAATGTTTACATATGTATATTTTTCGGATAATACCTTAAGTATATGTTATAATGTAAATACTTTAGTAAGTAGTTAAAAAAAAAAAAATCAAAAAAAATCTTTTTATAACCCATATTTTTAAAAAATAAATAAATTCAACTTTGGGGTCCAAAGTAAAAGAACAAGAGAGGAACTATTATGATCCATATTTTTACATTATGAATGATTGTGATAGTTTACATCACAATCATTATTTTTAAAATAGATATTTCATATTTTATATCAAAATCTTTGTTTTTAAATGTAGATTTCAAATATAATAGTTTTATTTTGGTAACTTTAAAATAGTTACAATTTTACTTAAAAATAGTGTTTTTCATTTAAGTTTTATTTTATGTAAGCTGTCCAACAAAGACTTGCTAAAGTAACTTTATATCAAGCTTTAAAGCCAAGCTACATTAAGTGACAATTAGCAATTAAACAAACAAGTCTTGATAAGTGGTCAGCTTACTCCTTTCTTTTTCCATTCTTATCTAAATGCCTAAATATATAGTTAAACAAAAATAGTAACTTTTGCAGGAAATCATCCTAATGTTTCCTTCTTAGGACATTTTATACATTAATGTTTATTTGCATATGGTTTAACAGAGTTGAACAAAACTTCCAGCTTCAACTGTCCCAGTATCATTCGAAAATTGGACGTTGAAGTAATAAACTGGATTTTTAAAATATAAAGTGTTAACTCTGTTATTCCAGGTATGTACATTTATTATATTTCATAATTCATTAAAGTTTATAAACTCTATTCTAAATATGTAAATTGATATTATTAAATTGTTAGGTACTATGTAATAGTATAAATATTTGAATTGTTAAAATGGTACCTCTTACGCAAAGTGAGTTATTTAAAGCTAATTTCCCCATATTTGTTAATTAAATGTTCAAACTATTGTTAATTCAAATATTGTATTCTTATAATGATTTATTTAATAATGTTGTAAAATGTTATTTATGTAATCATTCGAAAATTGGACGTTGAAGTAATAAACTGGATTTTTAAAATATAAAGTGTTAACTCTGTTATTCCAGGGTTTCGTCATAAAGGACTAAGAAAAGTCTGCAAATGAGTAATCAATAAAAAAGGATAACTGTCATAAAATCATAAAATAAGCATGTTAAAGACTTTTTATATGGCATATACATGCACTGATGGAGGTAGAATGGAAATTGTGCAATGATATATATTTATACTTTGCATAATATTTTATTAATTGATAACATAACAGAAATATTTTAAGGATCAAATGTTTGATTTCCAGGCTCTGACTTGAGACATAGGTATTAGTTACCTTCCTTCCCTTGACAGAAGGGCTTCTTTGTTTCTCATCCCCTCTTCTTTAATAAAGTTAATTTGCCAGTAAGATATTTTTCTTTTTGGCGGTTAGAATACTTTTTTGGCTTGAACTATATGAAAATTGGATAATGATAAAGTCTCACCTCCTCGGCAAACAGCTTATAAATTTAATGAATAAAATTCAAATTTTGAGTAAAAAAAATTGCTTCCTTTTAATGTGCATTAAAGACCTTGTTATATATAAGGTCCATCTAATAAGCTGGTTAATAAGATAATTATTTGTAATTTATAGGACAAAGACAGCATTTTACTTATTATGTGTGTTATGTGTATTTACTACGATCATGCAAAGCTCGTTTAATGTTAATTGTTACATATATAATGTAGTTTGTATTTCAGGTTCATAGATCATAATGACTGTGCATATTTATAAAGCACACTGTATCACCAGTTGGCAACAATGCCACACACTGCTTTATCTTCTATATTCATCATCTTCATAATTGAGGCTGGCCATGACAAAAACAACATAATGCGTTTGCGACCAGCATGGATCCAGACCAGCCTGCGCATTCGCGTAATCTGATCAGGATCCATGCTGTTCGCTTACAAACCCTATTACAAGAAGAGAAACTTATAGCAAACAGCATGGATCCTGATCAAACTGCGTGGTCGCAAACGCGCCATGTTGGTTTTGTCATAGCGCGGCTCATTTTATTATAATGTGGAGTTAAGTAATAAATTCAGTAAACAATTTGTTTTTTATTTCTGTATTATAAACAGCCATTCAGTGGTATATACAACAGCCATTATGAGAAGGGTACCTACACCTGCGTTTGCTGTAGTGAGAAACTTTTCAGGTAAACTATAGGTGACATTTCAGGTAAAAATGTTGCTGTTCATAGGTAGCTACAAGCTAAACCCATATATCATTGTAGTGTTATACAACAGGCTGTTGGAAAAAGAATGCCAATTTTCTAAAAAAAAATTATAAATGAATTCTTATTTTCTAGAAAATAAGAAATACATTGAATTTCATTTTTAGCTCACCTGTCACAAAGTGACAGGGTGAGCTTTTGTGATCGCTTTTCGTCCGGCGTCCGTCCGTCCGTCCGTAAACTTTTACTTTAAATGACATCTCCTCATAAACCACTAAGCCAATTTCATCCAAACTTCACGAGAATGTTCCTTTGGTGGTCACCTTTAAAAATTGTTCAAAGAATTTAATTCCATGCAGAACTCTGGTTGCCATGGCAACCGAAAGAAAAAACTTTAAATATCTTCTTTTAAAAAACCCAAAGAGCTAGAGCTTAGATATTTGGCATGCAACATTTTCTAGTGAGTGTCTACCAAGTAAGGCTCCCACGTTTACAAATTTTTGTAAACCTGTACACGATTGCTAAGAACCGAAACGATACCGTTTAAACGGTGGTACTTCTATGTGCTATACATGTACTACACCATATATCCAAGTCGCAAATTGATGACTTCCTTTCTATTTTTAACACAAGTACAAATAATAATAGTCAGGGCTCATCATGATTGTGACGGCACACATTTTCTGCATTGTATCCTCATTTCGCTCTTTTGAAAGATCAAAGGAAAATCAACTTTATCAAAAATGTATTGTGTCACAAGCAATTATTGCATGGTGCTGTGTGGAGGGTTGTAAATAACTATTTTCCGTATTTTACTTTGAAATAAACCAATTACAATTGATAGAATTCATGATTACAGGCAATGATTAAGATATTTTGTAAGACAATAATGTTCATTTCGATTAAACAGTAAAAATTATCGTAAACGTTTATGACTTAAAATCGAAACGAACCCGTTTAAACGTGTAACCGTGGGGGCCTTACTACCAAGTTTGTTCAAATAAAAGCCCTGGGGTCAAAAGTGGCCCCCCAGGGGGTCATTGATTTTCCCTATATGCATATAGTAAAAACTTAAAAATCTTCTTTTAAAGAACCCTAAGAGCTAGAGCAAAGATATTTAGCATGGAACATCTTCTAATGAGTGTCTACCAAGTTTGTTCAAATAAAAGCCCTGGGGTCAAAATTGGCCCCGCCCCAGGGGTGTCATTGTATTTAACTATACAGTTAAACTTCGTTCGCTCGAACTCGGATCGCTTGAATACCTCCCTTCGCTTGAACTCATCGCCCAGTCCCGGCAAAATTCCTATATAATATATATTGTTCTACCTCGGATCAAACACAAAAAGACAAGTCGACATGTCCTAAATAAATGACAGTCGGCGACACATGTTTTTAACACCTCGTGATCGTGACAAAGGTAATTAAGGTTTATTGATACAAAAAAGAGGTGTTGTAAACGATTTGTTTGTTATGATAATACTGTTAATTTGCAGTTTATGGTAACGATAAAAAGAAATAATAAGTGAAATATGCAGAAGTCAATAAAGAATGACGTTTACCCGGACGGCTTTAATTACAACCGTAGTTCATGTAACGTGAATTGTAACAGTGTTGTCTATTAATATTTGTACGCTCAACCAATTACAATATACATGGATAACGATTAACACAGTGTACCATTAATACTTAATTGAAAACACTGGGATAATAATTCTGAATATGACATATTCGACGAACGGATGTACTAACAAACAATTAAATTGACTTATTTATCATTCGAATGTTGTAAGTTAGAAAATCTTTAGGCCTATGATCACCGTAATAATAGGTCAACCTTGGTTGGCTCGAACTACCGATCTTTCGAACAAATTTGCACAGGCCCTCCCGAGCGAACGCGACTGTATGTGTACAGTAAAAACTTAAAAAATCTTCTTTTTAAAAATATAAATAGCTAGAGGTTAGATGTTTAGCATGAAACATCTTCTTTTGAGTGTCTACAAAGATTGTTCAAATAAAAGCCCTTGGGTTAAAATTGGCCCTGGGGGGGGGGTGATCATTGTTTTCATTATATGTGTGTAGTACATCTTCTAATGGGTGTCTTCCAAGTTTGTTCAAATAAAAGCCCTGGGGTTTAAACTGGCCCCGCTCCAGGGGGCCTATATACAGGTGAGCGACCTCAGGGCCATCATGGCCCTCTTGTTACAGTATTGGCTGGAAAAAAAAAGAATAAATAAACTAATACAATGTACATTTTAATTTCAGTTCACATTATATATCCCCAGTTATTATATAGAAGTTACCTAGCATGAAACCACCTTTCCAGCAGTCTTAACGATCATGTATTGTTACTAATGGAACATAGTTTATTGCAGATTTCTATAATTGTTTCATTGAAAGCAATGAACAAATCATTCATGCATTTCTCTTCTATATTACAATGCCTTTTTCATGACATACAGTAAGGAAATACGACTTTTAAGCAATTTATATTGCTATGAAGTCTTTTGTGAAACCTTTTAACAATCAGTTTTCCTCAAATCTTACTGTAAATTTTGAAATAGGCATGGGGTGCTCTATTTAAGTTTTAACAATTTTCAAAAGATACATTTTTTTGCTCAAAATTTTGACTGGTATATAATAACAGAAACAAAACAAACCTCCTTTTTTTGTGTCTGTTTCATTACCTCCATTTGTAAATTGTTTAATTTTTAATTGAAACAAAACATCATCATTTTTTTACGGATTCATACAAAATTTAATGCTCTAATGTAAATGAACGGGAAAAACAAAATGGAGCACTTAATATATTGAATTATTTTTTAATGATATTATGTTGTTTTTTGTCATTCAGTAAAAGCTGATCCATCAAATAACCATGAGCTAGGACATTAGTTTGTCTAGCGTAGGGAGGGGTACTTATTCAGTTAATTTATATCATGATTGTAATTTAAATTAAGTCTCGATCATTTCAGGTTTATTAAAAATTAAATCATTTAAAATTGTAGTTCAGACAGCAAGTATGATTCCGGGACAGGCTGGCCATCATTTACTGATGTGTACAGGCAGGAAGAGAAAGGTCTGCCCAATGTGATAGAGAGGCCAGAAAACAGCGTTGGTCGCAGTACTTTTAGAACAGAGGTCATCTGCAGAAAGGTTCAATCATTTACATACCACTATATTATAAATACAATTAATACCTATGTTTCTGTATATAGTAACAAAATCTAGCGTAAATTTAAGGCCATTATGACAAGATTTAGGTTGTTATGCAATTTTGGCCGCCTTGCCACTCCATATTATTTTTCCATAATGGGCTAGTGAAATGCAAAATGACGTTATCAAACCTCAGTGACTTTCAAGATGGCTACTGTCGTTGAATGAACTGTAGTCATTTGCACACACAATTTTAAGTTTAAATGACAATATCAATCGCTATCAACAAAGCTTAACTTTGATATTCCCCTAAAAAATTCCAAAAATGATTTCAGATTGATGGTAGAAAAAAGATCAGATTTTTTACTTGACGTCAGAACCGTTCTTATGGGCACATAGTTTCATAAAAAATTTGGTACTGAACGTTATTCTCACAAAGAAATATAAAGAGTATTTATCAATATAAACAAAAATAGAACAACATTTTCTCATATTTATTTTGTGTTATCATGTTTTCTAAGTTATTCAAAGGGTAAAACTGAATGACAGATATTTGTTTACTTTGACAACTGTCTGTTTCTAAGAAAGGGCAACAGCCAAGATAAGTGGTGACACCAAAACGCCCTATTTCCCGCATATGTATTAAAGAGGTTAATGCTTGGTTGCTGCTTGCTATTATGCGATAATGGACCTCTTATCCATAATGTCTTCCGGGCCTGCGGCCCTCAGGCCATTATGCACTTCTTTGGGCATTATCCATAATTGTGTATTAAATGTATGGACTGTATTTTAACCATGTAATATTATGTTTAATGCATGTTTTTATCAAAGCTAATGTGATTATGATGACACAGAAACTGCTTCTGTCATGTTACGGCCAATTTGCACCCTCTGTGAAGCATGGTCCCTGACACTCTGAGGTATGGTAGGATTCCAGATTTTATTCACAAAGACAAGTCATGATCCTCCCCACTATCTCATAACCAAATTATATTTTCATCAGAGGCGCTTTATTTGAGATATTTGGAAAATAAACTTATTTTTTTAATGGAAATTGCTTTGATATCAGTATAGCATTTCGTATTGGATTTTTACATAAATCAAGTCCTTGGGTAAACAATTTCCCTGCTGCAGGGTTACTTTTGTTACACTGTCTTGAACAGGAAATCACTAACCTAGCGATAAGGATCAGAATTGGGCACCACCATTGGGGTCACTGATTTTACAAATTTTTAGGAAAATTCATTTAAATCTTACCAAGACCTTACATATTTGGCATACATGTAACATTACCTATTGCCATTTAGACATTTACTCAAGTTATGAAGAATCATGGATCCTGGGGTCAAAAATGGGCCCTTCCCAATATGGCCCTGTAACCAACTACGCTTTGCATGGCCCTCTTGTATCATTAACCAATTTCTTGATAGTACCTTACTAGGTATATTAAATAATACTTGGATTATTCTCATATAGAATTTTATGGTATTAGAGTCATCTTTTGTCTTGGTGTAGAAAAAGCTGAAATAAAACTTTGGCACTATTTAGCAGTATTATCTAATATTGTGTGGTTTTCAAATGTAACATTCAATGTTTCAGTGTGATTCTCATCTTGGCCATGTTTTCGATGATGGACCGTCACCAAGTAACAAGCGATACTGCATCAACAGTGTAGCGTTAAGTTTTACACCAGCAGCTGATAAATGATGTGACAAAATAAAAGATTTCCAGAAAAACGATTTGCTACAGTTTTGAAAATGCAGCATTTTAACTGGTCAATGTGATTAATTAGTGCTAAGTGACATTATGCTAATATTTTTCCCCTGTCAATTTGAGTTGAATAATTAATATTCCTAAAGATTGAATATTATAATAGAGATTGACCAATAATTAATCATGAAAAATGTTTTGGATAAAATATATACCTAAATTGTATGAAGTCTGCCCATCTCTTCTTAAAACTCGAAAAAACTTGAACATTGCCTACACATTTCAAATCTATATTTATAGAAATAAGTCATGGGTCACATGGATTATTGATTATTTTTGCATAGTAAGATATAAAACTGAACCCAGTTGTTACAAAATGTAAAGTTATTTTGACTTTAACCTGTGCATACACCAGGCATAATGTCACTTTAACATTTTTAGGACATAATAAAGCTTTAAGACTTTGTCTACTTAACAGAATAGTCAATGTTTGCTTTTATTGTTGTTAATTGGGTTAAGTGATTGCTCATTGATAAATTGTTGTAGTTAAACATTGTTTGATTTTGTTGTATTCTTGGAATGATAGCATTATATTCTGTATTTTTGTCTTATTGTGTTACCTGGCTATATATATATTAAAGCTACTGTGTTATGTTGTTTTAGTGATTTTGCATACGTGTGAACTTTTTCCGATGATCAAGTGCGAGGTTTTTCTTCAAAAAGAGGGAGATTTTAGAATTTGCAATAAACAAAGTAGAAAGTTCTGACATCAAAAAGAGGAAGATTTCTTTAATTTGTGAATATACGCCTTCTTTTAAGAAGAATCTTTGAAAATATGGCTGTCTCCCGCTAAAAGTGGGAGAGTTCACATGTATGTAAATTATGTGTTATGTTGTGTTAGTTATCAATATGCTGTGTTACCTATAGAAATGCAATACTTGCTGTTGATATGCTATTTTAGTCATTTATATGCCATTTTAGTTATTGATCTGCCATAGAAGTTATACATAATGCTTTCTTTATTATACACCCCGTTCAAAATCTCCCCCATTAATAAATGCCCCTGGTTTTTCTGTCAGAACTGAAATATATACTGCATATATAATCTTCAATTGGCATTTTATTGAAAAATTAAAAGTTATAAGTGTTTTTAGCTCGACTATTCGCAGAATAATCGAGCTAATGCAGTCACCCATTTGTCGGCGTCGGCGTCGGCGTCGGCGTCCCTGTGGTTAAGTTTTTGTATGTAAGCTGGTATCTCCATAACTACTGAAGGGAATGGATTGAAACTTCACACACTTGTTCTCTGTGATTGTCTAAGATGATTGGCACAAGTCCCATAACTCTAATTTGCTTTTTTTCATAATTATGCCCCTTTTTCGACTTAGAAATTCTTGGTTAAGTTTTTGTATGTAAGCTGGTATCTCCATAACTACTGAAGGGAATGGATTGAAACTTCACACACTTGTTCTCTGTGATTATCTAAGATGATTGGCACAAGTCCCATAACTCTGATTTGCTTTTTTACATAATTATGCCCCTTTTTCGACTTAGAAATTCTTGGTTAAGTTTTTGTATGTAAGCTGGTATCTCCATAACTACTGAAGGGAATGGATTGAAACTTCACACACTTGTTCTCTGTGATTATCTAAGATGATTGGTACAAGTCCCATAACTCTGATTTGCTTTTTTACATAATTATGCCCCTTTTTCGACTTAGAAATTCTTGGTTAAGTTTTTGCATGTAAGCTGGTATCTCCATAACTACTGATGGGAATGGATTGAAACTTCACACACTTGTTCTCTGTGATTATCTAAGATGATTGGTACAAGTCCCATAACTCTGATTTGCTTTTTTACATAATTATGCCCCTTTTTCGACTTAGAAATTCTTGGTTAAGTTTTTGCGTGTAAGCTGGTATCTCCATAACTACTGAAGGGAATGGATTGAAACTTCACACACTTGTTCTCTGTGATTATCTAAGATGATTGGCACAAGTCCCATAACTCTGCTTTGCTTTTTTACATAATAATGCCCCTTTTTCGACTTAGAAATTCTTGGTTAAGTTTTTGTTTGTAAGCTTGTATCTCCATAACTACTGAAGGGAATGTATTGAAACTTGAAGGGTTTGTACCTTTTCGGACAATTTTATGTATTCATATAGGTAAGCATTATTATACTCAATGAAACACCCTTGTGACAAATTTTCGAATAGTCGAGCGTTACTGTCCTCCGACAGTTCTTGTTGAAAATTTGTTAAGAAGACATTAAAAAGATCAAAGAAAATTATTTGGACTAAAATCTTGGCAAAATGCATTTCTCTTGAGAGCTGGGGGGGGGGGGGGCTGTTTGAATAGGGGTAAAAGTTATGTTTTTTTATTGATATGTGATTTTAGTTACTAGTATGCTGCAAGTATTATTGGTATACTATTTCTACATATATTGTATAATCTCCAATGTTGGATCTCCACTATTATATATTCAGAATTTGTGTTACATTGATAATTGTAAGATAATTGTCCCATGATATTGAGATAATTGCATGATAATTGTCCCATGATATTGGTATATTATTATCTCTATTTTGTAATTATAAGAATGTTTTTAAACTTTTTTTAACAGTTGTATAACCTGTTATTGTCATTGACTTTTTGTGATGTAGGAAAATTCCAACTTATCTGCATACATCAAAACATAAATGTCTTTGTATGTGACCATGTTAACAAAAACAACATTTTACTTTAAACAAGCTTTAATGTACTATACACAGTAATTTTGTACTATACTAATTGGTTTGGCTTTAGTAAACAGTTTAAAGGTGTACTTAATTAACCTGTTTTGTGACAGATTCTTAAAATGACAATTAATTTCAGGAGTCAGGTTTTTCATAGGGTAGTTTTTTTTATCATTTTAAAGATTTGAATCCATTGTTATAAGATGGTCAAATGTAAGTGGTTCTAACGTTATCTGTATATATTTAAATTGGACATTTGATGGTTCTGTTTAATACTTGGTATGGGTATTAAAAAAAGTGTTGGAGCACCACACTAAATATGGTATATACCGGACAAGGTGCTTGAATGATAAAATGCTAAAATCTCGCCTTTTTACCTGCAGAAATGCACTCTAAGATGTCTAATTCCTCTGTCCACACCGATTTATATACAATAATGAATGAAAAATGTAAGAATTGGCAAAAAAGGGATATTTTTCTACTGATCATGATCTCTTCAAATGTGTAGAAGTACTGCTCCGACACTGTAGTGAATTAAATCCATTAATAAAGATTGGTTTGGACAGGTTAATACTGTAAAGTCTTACCTGAATAAAATATTCCACTGTAGAATTTTTTTAAATTTGTATATCTAAAAAAAACTAAGAATAGTTATATAAACAGACAGAAGAAGTTATTGATGTAGAAGTAGAGTTATATAATGGCCTTAAATGAAAACAGTTTATCACTTTTAAGTAGTTAAAGGTTATTGTTAGTTTCTAGTCAAGTATTGGAACTTATGGGCAACAAGGTGCAAAATTGTCACTGTCCAAGTAAATACCATTTATAACATAGGTAATTTTATGGCATAACTTTTATGTAATTAAATGTTAGATAGTATGTGTTCAACTAGGGCATATCAAAGTATTTGTTTATTGTATAACTTAAATATACAGTGACTTTTTCATGTTTGTATGTAGTTATGAGACCACACGGCTGTTAGAATAACATGCACATGAACTTATCACATAAGTTTTTTCTAAGATTTGTCATGGTTACACTCATACTTTATCTAACACTTGCATATCTGATGGTTATCTAAGTAATATGTGGCTATATTAACTTAATATAATTTAAGTATTAACATTATGTATTATTATGGGTAACACTTTTATGATAATAGATACACAAGATCAGTTTCAATATCTTATTAAATGTTGTGTTGGAATTGAAGATTTAAAGTAATTGCTTGTGAATTTTAAATTGAGGATATAGTCAAATATAAAACAGTTATACATCATTTATATACAAAATGTATATTTACTCGGTTGTCTTTAAAAATTTATAAGCAGTATTTCTCAATATGTAGTATATAATGAACACATTGTAATTTGTACTAAATAAAACAAAATGCCTAAACAATGTTATAATTGTGGTCTATGTTACTATTGTCCCTTAAATGTATTAAATCTAACTGTAAATCCATTTTACAAAGGGAGACAAATTAAGAATCATGTTACAAAGGGAGACAAATAAGATTATATAAACAAGAATTTAAGCTGTGTTCACAAACCAAGGTCTTCCATGTTTATGTCTAAATTGAAAGAGCTTGAAGGTGCTTAATAATTTTACGTTCTTTCAAATTTTGAATTTGATGTAAGATGTATTAGATAAGAACTGACTATATGTATTTATTTATACAAAAATGAATTCCAATAGTTTACAGTTTGCAAAAACTATAAACAAATAATGATATATGTTATGTCAATAGACTCTGTCATCATAGGATTTAGTCCCTGATAGAGTAATGTTGCCTTTCTCTTGCATTTTATTTAAAAACATCATATTTGTGTGTGTTTTAGTCAGTGTTTATTAAATAGTCTATTGATTGTAAACAGAATTTGATAAAGCATATGTAAAATAGTACCAATGAAAAGGACATGTTGTAAAGATGATATGTTTGAAGCTATTTTTCCAAACAGTATTTGATTTTAATGATATGACCTGTTGTTTTCTTTTTTGATTGAAAATAAAAATGGTGAGATGTAAATGAGTTTGTTTTGTAATTATTCATGGAGCTACGAGATATTTATCTTTTTTTTTCTTGTACATGTATACTGTATAAAGTTTACGGCAATCAGCCATAGCAGAAATGAACTTTTGCTGATGTGATTAAGTATTGAACCAAATATATGCACCTGCAGAAGTCAGATTAGAATGACAGCAAAATTGCTTTTAGCTCTAATAAACTTCTATTGGAAACACATTTAAATCTCTTGTAAAACTACATGGTATAGATTTGTATTTTCAAGTAACACTAGTAAAGTCATAGTTTATACAAATATATTTTAGTTTGTGTTGGAAGCTGTAAGGCTATTGAAACACTCGAATCCGTTCCTGGAACCAACCAATACCTAACAATGAATGTAAAGTTTTGCTGTAAGTCATAGTTCCTGGTAAATGAAAAAAACAGGTGCCCCTCGGTGCATTATTTCAAAGACCCCTGAGCAGAACCACTGACTGAAATGCAGCATTGTAGAATCTGGATATGGACACAACAGTGAAGATCCAGTAGTTTGAAGCCAGACACCCTGGACACAGAGTAATGACCAAGAGTTTACATGCTTCATATAATATTATAGCATTGGCTAGTGTATCAAACACATCTTACTCGGAAACAATTATGCCCAGAATTGATTGTTGGCATGCAGCATAAAATTGAGCCATCAAGTTTCTAGGGTCACAATTGGCCCTGCCTTTAGGCTGCATTGTACATAGATGTAATTAACAGGGATATACATTTAGATAATCTTGACCCAGAGGTTGGTATGTAGCTTTGTCATGTACTTCTGTACAATGCAATAACATAATCTCGCTTTTCCAATGTAGCAATCAGCATCAAACCTTAGACACCTGTTTTTGAAAAACATTTCTCTTACCCCTTTGTGTAATTGTGGGCAAATTGAAACAACCCACGCTTCTTTTTCGAGTGCTGTGCATACGATGCCGTCCGCAGAACACTCCTTCTTAACTTGCAAGACTTCAGCATAAACCTTCATAAACTTCTCTATGGTGACCCATCTCTTACATACCAGGACAACGTTATTATATTTACAAATGTACAAAATTATATAGAAAAAAACGAAAAGATTCACTTAGATCCATTCTAATTGAGACTATCATGCATCCTCTTTCTTCTCTTTCCCACTATTTTGTTTTCTTCTTTTATATATATTCTTAAGTTTTAGACATCTACTTGTAGTTAATCTATTCTATAAAAAGTTTATATATAAATACATATTTTTATGTGTGTATAATTGATACTTATTCCCTTGTCTAGTATATACTAATTATAATCTTATTTAAGACAAACCATATAGTTCACCAAAGGAGAAGAATTCTATAAGACTTGTCTTTCATTCTCATCCTTTTCCATTGTGTAAAAAATGTTTTGTTTGTTATATATTTGTATTTACATTATATATACTTTCGGGAATAAATATGTTTAAACTAAACTAAACCTTAGACAATCAGAGTTACCTCCCTGGTTCACAACTTTATGGCTACATCCAGTACTTTGACAACAATATCACTGAAGAATCTGTTTTCTTTCTCAGTTTTATTAATGTAGGAGTATAAGGTCATGATAACATTGCACTTTTGTTCGCCAGTTATAACAAGTACAAAGATTGTGAGATAGGACGCGTGGAAAGGACGGAAGTTATTCACTTTAACCCATCACATACATGTATATATACTTCGCATAAAATTACTATTGTAATATTTACTCCGTGTTTTCTTATTTAGATTTGATCCATAATCTTTACTTTCGTTGTGATTAATCATGAAATCCTTTCTACGGTCATTCGCCCTGTACATTATTGTAGCTCTTGCATGTACAGAAGTTATTATTTGTTTGTGTCGTCAGACCAAACAAATAATGGTCGCGAAATTTCAGACTCTGATGTTCTTATTTGCAAATACCGAAAGTAGTCCAAACTCTTCGAAGCGGTAACTTCCCTTCATATGTACATTAACGCCGAAAAATTAAGGGGAGATCACTGCGTAAAGATTGTCAAATGACAGGCGCATTAATTTTCGTAACGAAAAAATAGTTCCCGATTTTCTAATATTGTGTTATTCTTATAGATATACATGCTTATATTCAGCCCCATGATTACTTACTTCAGTGTTAAACAAAAGATTTACCGTGAACAAAATATATCGAAATTAATAAGTGTTATAAACTTTAATTGAGAATAATATGGTATTCTTAAGGCTGTTAACTTCTAACTCCCCGTGGAGTTCAAATCCCAGTTCAGGCAACATATCTTTTTAAGCCAAATAAACATTGAATTGAATATCAGTGCAGTGTTGCTAGAATTCATCATTTAACAAGAACTGGTACAATTTTGAATTTTTAAACATCCGCAACCACCAATATGAATGTCAAATACTGTGTAAATTAACACAACCATTTAAATTGATTATTCCGCGATGTATAAAGCACTTAAAATTACGGACGCGGACAGTCTAATTAGAATTAAACACCGATTAAAGTGATAATAACTAATTAAATTGATAACTTTAAAGGCTATCTGAAACATAATAATTTTACTGGCATATACTTAAGACGCAATATGCAGTGCCTAACATTTACTTTTCTTATAATACCCTGTCTATCCGGAATTTTTGGACAACAAGCTTACGGTAAGGGGGGCTCTATCGTTATAATTTTGATTGTTTGTGTTTTCGTTAATACTTTCCGTAAGTTATTTTATGTATTTCATCAATTGACAATTTTTATAGGGTTTTGAACATATCAGATTGGTCATTAAATGGTTTTCATAAGGTAATAAAAGCAACATTAGTTTTATATGTTTAAGATAAGATAAATTTACATAAAAGAGCTTAATTCAAGCGCATTCGAATTTAATTAATAAGACGCTTATTAAGTTATTAATTAAGGTTAAATGCTTGATTATAATACTGGTAATGAAAGTTGTATTTAGCAATATTATTCAATTTGTGAGGTAACAGATGTCTATAATACACACATGACATGGTCAGAGGCTGTGGACACATGCAAACAAAATGACGGCTTTATTGCTAATACACATCCTGAAGTATCACTGAAATTACGAAATCTCTTAATAAAATCAACTAAACAACCGTATTGGATAGGTAAATCGCTCTCACCATGGGTAATGCTTCGAGGTAAGCGTAATAATTCAATACAAACATTTGATTTATCAAATTGATCTATTTTTTAAATCGATAAATTTAACCATTTACAATCATTGAAAACAAGAAAATCTGCATTTTTCTGTACAGTATGAGATACGTCAACCCTACTTCAGATTTGCATCCCCAATTTACACCACAACTTATCACAGAGGTTAGTTCAATTATAAAGTTATTACACATTTAATTTCGAAATTGAATGTTAGCTGATTTTTTTAACGGAAATAACAATTTAGGCTGTTGTGTATATAGGATGCGTTGAAAGGAAGGGATCAACTGATGTAACTGCAGTGTATACAAATTCAAAGTACAATCAGAAGTCAGAATGTGCCGCTGCATGTATAGGTTCAACCTCGTTTCTACTACAGGTTAGTTATACAATCTTTATAGATTTAAATACATGTTATCATATGAGATACGTCACGACAAAACCAACATAGTGGGTTTGCGACCAGCATGGATCCAGACCAGCCTGCGCCTCCGCGCAGTCTGATCAGGATCCATGCTGTTCGCTATGGGTTTCTCTACTTGTAATAGTGTTTGTAAGCGAACAGAATGGATCCTGATCAGACTGCGCGAATGCGCAGGCTGGTCTGGATCCATGCTGGTCGCAAACGCATTACGTTGGTTTTTCGTGACGCGGCTCATATATGATTTTTACCGAGTAAGATATATTTATTAAAAGGAATAATCTGCACAAATATGATTACTTGCGTTAGTATCAACCCCCATGGTCTTCAGGATTCCAATACTGGTTGGTCCTAGGAAGCGGACTCGAAAGTGGTTAATATAAGCTGCAAGAACTTGTTTCGCAATCGAGCTTAAATAACTATGATTAAGCCAGGATTCCAATATTTAGCTATAATATATATAGATAGCACTAAATAAATGCCTCATGCATCACAATTTCTCAAAAGATATCCTTTCTTCACGTTCAACGTACAACACATTTTTATTAAAAACATGGTATATTCATATAACCGATAGACTAAATTCATTGTTGTTTTTTATACGAATTTCATTTATCTGTAAAGAGAAAGTCTTGTTATTGCTTAAACAAAGAAGAAAACATAACTGTTACAATTGTACCATACAAAGCGTGCACTGATATCTGTCCCGGAATGTCACGTGACAAATGTGGCGGAAAAGACGTTTTCACATTTTACGAATATTGTAAGTATAGCATCATATTGTCTTCAACAAATAAAGATACATAACATTATGTTCGATACGAACTTGCATTTTTTTCTACCAGGTTTTGTGTTGTTTTGATTCCATCCATTCCTCCGTTTTAAATGTATTCGATTTAGAAAGAAAGCTTTATTCATACATAAAAATATTTAAAAGGAAAATTAAGAAGGAATATAACTGACTTAAACGAATGAAGAAAAAGAATAAAACCAGTATTGCACAAAAGGAACTTTACTGAAGAAAAGGAAACGTCGCAATTTACAATACCTCATTGAGTGGTCGATGTATCATAATGTTCTTCAAAAATTTAATTCTGAATATCTTTTTTTAAGAGAAATTACGTATACATAAATTATAAGCACAGCCCTCTTCTTAAGTTCTAATATGTAAAAAAGAAATCTATTTGAAGCCGGATTTGTTTTACATAGATCATTCGTGGGGAAATTAGTTTTATATAGATGATGGGGAGATAATTGTGTAGATCATGGGGAGATAATTGGATTTGTTTTATATAGATCATGGGGAGATAACCGAAAGCAATGACATGTACAATTATATTTGCAAGAAGGATGCGTCATACATTCAGTGCAGCGATGATTATAGAGGATTTACTTGTGAACTGACTAATGGTATGTGTCAAATACGAACAATGTGCAATGGATATACTGAAAAAGTCATTTTCTTAATCATGGCCATTTTGTTAATAATATACACACATATTCTTATTCTCGACCACGATATTTCATATGCATGTAATCCGTATTTAAAAATTGAGCTTCTTTTAATACTCATATTCTATTACTTTTAAATATCTTAACATAGTAAATATCATTTTATCATCCAAATATATATGGAATCAGCCGAGAAGGTCTAAATGCCAAAAAAAAAAAAAAATAAATAAATAAATAAAAAAAAAAATAATAATAATAAAAAAAAAAAAAATTAAAGAAATGGAGTATTGTAGTTATTGTCCAGAACAACTTTCTTTTTTCTTCTTTCTATCATAGATATTAACATCTCATTCACCTTTTTCAGGGTCAAAAGTGTCATATAAGGAGGATGTACCTAGAAGAGACCTTTCTTTAACCTATATAGAAAGTGTAGAATATTGTAGCAACCTTCAAGGAGGACTTAGAATGTCACCGATTCCCGAGTTTAACGTGCCTTATTTAGGAAATCCGTACTGGACAACAATAACAAGGGCTATAGATTGGAACTACGATACGGGTATATAGTATTAGTTGTACAGATTTTGACAGGTTATATGGTCCTATATAAAAAGTTGTTTGGAAATATACCCGAACCCCTAGGTGCGTGGTTATATTGCTCATAACCGTTTATATTCGGTCATACAACCCGTCGGGAATATTTATAATATTAGTTATAAAGATTGTTGACAGGTTATATGGCACTATAAAAACGGCTATTTGTAAATATATCCCGAGCCGCTAGGCGAGGGTTATATTGCAAACAGCCGTTTATATACGGCCATATAACTTGTCAACAATCTTTATAACGAATTTATAATACAGCAAACATCATTTTTTAGAGAAAAAAGTAAGATTTCTTCATGAATCGATAACAGCCGTGTATAAATATGTTATTTTGGTTTTGGAGTGATATATGTGGATATATTACCTGTTAAGATTTTATATCACCCGAGCCGTTAGGCGAGGGTGATATTTTATCTTGGCAGGTAATATATCCACATATATCACTCCAAAACCAAAATAATAATTTTATTACCCTTCCCCTGCCGAGTTTAGACGATTTTTTAAATAATCATTGCTGTTTCAAATGAAACGTCGAAATAAGATTCCCTTTAGGATACCTCTTCGTCACAACATGACGTCACATAAATACATGACGTATTTTTCCCGTACCTTACAAAAGTAAACAAGAGAAAAGGAGTAGCTATTGAACGCACTTTTTTTGTAATTAATATCAAGCTTTCACAAGGTCATATTTGTTTTCGATACTGATGGTTATATGTATCATAACTCTACTTTGGTAAATATTTATCATTTGACAGTTAAAAAGTGCTTTTAAATCGGAATTTACACCGCGTAAAATCGAACCGTACGCGCATCATCTCCGCGCATGTTGTTTACAACGTTGGGTACCAAACGGGGAAATTTAGTGTGTATATTACCCGTCTGGCTCGGTTATATCAATTTCTTTCGGGTGATCAATATCCAATCAAAAAGGCGGAAAAAATCTGGAAGGGTAATAAAAAACTATATAAACGTCACGATTATCCAATGAAAAGCGACGTTACAAACGTGCAGTATTATAAAAAAATATATAAACGTCACGACTATCCAATGAAAAGCAACGTTACAAACGTGCAGTATTATATAGAATTTATAAATCAAGCAAATGTTTTCTTTTTTTTTTTTGAATAAAAAAGCGAGATTTTTTACAGTTTTTTAAGTTGAGAGTATTAATATAAAACTTTATAAGCGTCACGATTATCCAATGAAAATCGATGTTACAAACATGCAGTGCATTTATTATAAATCTATTTATGTAAGTGCGATATCATTTAATATTCTTTTTAAATTTAGCTGATATACTAGTAGTACTACACAACTCACGTACGCATTTGTACTTTTCGAAATGAGGCAAAAAATTAATGTTTCAAAGGGATTACATACATGTACATTTCTGATAGATTAACAGAAATTTTTTATCTTCTATGTCTTTAAAAAGTCGTGTGTGGTTTTCAGATTCGCAATACGAAATGATCTTAAAAGATCTCTCGAAAGAGTATACGAATAAAATGTACCGGAGAATAAACTTTATTTGAAACTGATCTTACATATATCGACTATTGTTCATGCTGCACTAATAGCAATATTGTTATAGAAACCATATAACTTAGTCTTTTCTTGTCTAAATTATGTGCTTAATAATTTCATAGTATCGCAAAGGAGTCCTGAATTTAGCTGTATATCCATGATGAATAAATTTAACCAGTATGAGGAGGAGTTTAGAACAGCCTCTGACAAATATGGATTCGTGTGTCAATATGGTATTATATTTATACTTTTTATAATTATACTTTGATACATAGCACATAGAAAGTAATGAACAAAAATTAAAACATTTACCAAAATAACTAATTAAGGTTCTAATAGCAGGTATTAAACATTAAACGGAGATGCCTAGCAGGTGCTTGTAACAAGTACTTTCAAAGCCTGTTGCTCTAGCAACAAAAAAACGTACAGAAAACTGAATGTGTCGTCTATATACTATGGTGGCTGATTTGTGCCATTCGTGTTTTCGCCCCGCGACCCAGCATAGCTTACAAGTTAAAATGGCGGGGGCTTGGGGCGAAAACACTAATCAGCCACCATAATATTTATATGCTATTTTGAATGTAGAAAAAATATAGACCTATATACTAATTAAACGATTTGGTCAACCATACGGTCTTAAGAATGTAATCAAATGGTTCACTTTTAAGAGCAATTGACAAAAAATATAATTTTTTTATCTGTAGCATTTATATTACTCTAGGATGATGCATTAGTCACCTTATAACATATTTATATAACTCAATCTAAAAATTGTTAAGATATCTATGTTGATTACAAGGGTTACTGATGACTTATCAAAAAAAAAAAAATGACAAAAATAAATTTTTTATCTGAGCATTCACTATTTACTCTAGGATGTGCATTATGTCACCTTAACATATTTAATATAACAAATCTAAAATTGTTGTAGATGATGTAACGCTAGAGACATATACAGATATAGATGGCAACATAACATCTCCTGAATACAAGAACAACCAGCTGTATAAATACAACATAACATTAAATAACAGCACAGGAGTTAAACTCGTATTTGAGGACATCAATTTAGAGGAAAGTACAGGATGCGTTTATGACTATATCGAGGTCTGTATTTAGATAGTACTTTTGTTAAAATGTAGTTATAACTATATAATTATGCGCATTTTTAACAAATATTTGACTATTTTACTGAGGATACGTAATCCTAGACTTATATTTCAATTATACGATGGTTGTCCGGAAAGTGCATATTCTACTTGTTTGTGCTCCCACTATAGTAGGAGGATTTAAATTTGCCATTGTCCGTCCGTCCGTTCGTTCGTTCGTGCGTTGCAATTTTCAACTTGTGTCGTACGTAGCTCAAAGAGTATTGACCTAGAGTCATGAAACTTTACAGAAATATTGAACAGCATGACTGTGTAGTTATGCACTTGAAGGTTTGTTTGAGATTTGTATCATTATTGCCCTTGACTGTTGCAAGTTGCAATTGTCATCTTGTTTGTGCGTATTTCAAAAAGTATTTGATCTGAAGCTGAAATATTGGTATACATATCTATAACTTTTTGCATCTTAGAGTTGCTTGTGGATTTATTCAGTATTTGTGTTTTTGCCCTTGACTTAAAGTAATTGCCCCTTTCAACTTTTGTCAGGCGTACGTAGCTCAAAGATATATGACCTAGAGTCAATAGATTGACAAAACAGTTGAGTGTTGGGGCATCCGTGTCCTATGGTTACCCTAAAGCAATTCACACGTTTTATGAATTTTGCCAGCAAATATATGCATATCTAACAAACACATTTACTTAAACTTACTGAGCTCTGATCAAATATCGCATTAAAACGCTCTTTACCTAAAACATATATACATTGTCACGTCCTCAAATGAACGTCACGTTCTCACTCCTCAAAATTGCGTCCATGCGATGTATAGACATATGTAGTAAATAGACAATTTAGCAAAATATTAAAACATCAAATAAATATTACGCTTAAAATTATGTTTACAGCCTTGTCTACGAACTTTCTCGACAGCCCTCGTATTTTTATTTTATTCTTGTCAGTTGCACAGTTGCATACATTTGTTTGTTATTACTACACTGTGGCATATTTTTTTTATTGTTATGTCTGCACAGTGACATACATTTGTTTACTTCCTATGACTACACAGGTGGCATACCTTTGTTTGATTGTTATGGCTACACAGTGACATACATTTGTTTGATTATTATAACTAAACAGTGTCATACATTTGCTTGATTGTTATGACTACACAATGGCATACGTTTGTTTGATTGTTATGACTACACAGTGGCATAAATGTACTTACCTGTTATGAGTATTAAGACCCTTGTAACTAAAAAGTAAACAATAAGATCGGGTATAGGCTAACAGATCATCATTTTTCATTCGTTTTCTTTTTGTCAAAAGGTATTAGCTAACAACGGAAGTTTGGAAAAGTTTTGTGGAAAATATGAACAAAAGAAAATACTTGTCAGGGGCAAAACAGTGCTCATTGTATTCCGAAGTGATAGCAGCATTTCCGGAACTGGTTTTAGAATGTTTTGGTCTGAAGGTTAGAAATCATTTTAATCTGCAATGCGCTTAAATAGTTTAACTGCATGATCATATAAATGTAAGCGTATTGAAATAAAAACTTGCATAAATTTCCAACTGTGTTACAACAATTATATACTAGTAATTATACGGACATTTACAACCTGAAGGCTGGTAATAATTTAGGTTTTGTCATTATACTTAATTTTACTACTAGATCTATATTTTGTTATCTTGATCGCAGCAAATGATGTCATACTTGTAAACGGTGCGCAAAGAAGCTCAAATGAAAGATCATTGAGTGGTAAGTAACAATGCATGTATTTCTATTCTAAATCCATTTTTTCTAATTCTCAAATATATATACCATTTACCATTTCCTTCTGTAACCGAAAGTGACCAGCCTTTGCCACCAGTAAAGCCTGGCCAGCCTTTACATCCGTGGAGTTTGACCTGTTGGCATCTTTAAAATCCTTTAAATTATCAATGGATTGTTCCAAATTTCAAAGCTGGACAAATCCATTATGCAAATACATCTGGTTAATGTAGTCAGTGTTCTCTCTTCCGTAAATCAATAAGTTATTTTATTTTTTATACCGGTTATTGTAAAATAACATCACAAATTGATATAATGCTATTAAGCAGTTGAAAATAAATCTAAATCCTGAACTAAATATGTGTATGTCGTCCATGTATGACTTGTATCGACTTTACAAAAAATAAAAATAAAAAATAAATAAATAAAAAATATCAAATTATCTCCTTTATTCACTGTTGTCATTTAATATGCTTTAGTTTATTATTGTTACAAAATCTTTTGTTAATTGTGTTTGCTAAAATTGTGTTTGCTAATCATAATCAAGCTTAATATATGTTATGTCTTTAGTTATGTGTATCTTGTACAGTATAATTATTATGTGATTATATGCTTGTAAAGGCCCATAATTGGATGGAAATAAAATTTATTCTATTCTATTCAATATCCTACTGTACAAAAGAGACACCTCTTTAATTACTCAAAGTCGAAGTATGGCGAAAAGCCTTAATATTTTGGTGAAAAACAAAATGTATAAATGTACTTAACATCTTTATAAAAACAATCTATAGTTACATTAACTTTCATATAAAACGCTTTATATTTTCTTACTACATTCAAGGTGGTACTATCGTTGGTATAACAGTCGCTGCAGCAGTGGTATGTGTTATTGTAGCCAGTTTTATTGCGTGTCTAATCTACAGAAAAACGTAAGTACATGTAGAAAACCATTTTAGATATATGAAAATCATACGTTGTATTTTTATGATTACTATATACATGCATGATAAGTACGTTTTTTCCTATTTTACTTCGTGCTAAAGTAAATGATATCTTATCTTAAAAATATAATGTTGTTTGCTAAAAATATACATAAAATGGTATATATACTTTGCCAGGCATCAAAAACAAACTAATACGAACACGGAAGACTCATCAAACGTGCATAATTTAGCTTATGCTATGTCATCGTTCAATACCGGAAGCAGTATGAAAAGCGACAATTACAATACCTATCTGACTGTAACACCGACAAACGACAAGAAAATGCTGCAAGCAGTAAGTTTGTTCTTAAACATAAAACTTTGGATATGCTTTATAACTATTTGTTGACGTGTTATAGTTTCATATATTGAAAATACACGTACATATTTAGTACATAAAATTGAGCACTTGTGCTCCATAATGCAATAAGCTTCGTCTCGAGCAACCACACCATGTACACATATATAGTTGCTTTTTCACTTTAAAGTAACATTTATTTAGTATGAACGCGTTCAACATCTATATAAATGTTATAATTCTGGCCATGTAACATGTATAATAGTTTTTTTTCCTTCGAAGTTACATTTATTTAGTTTTAATGAGATGTTAAGTTCAGGCCATGTGTATGCATATAGATTTTTTTTGTCACCCAACAAAGTTACATTTGTAATGTTTAACGCCTCCAACATCTTAATAAAATGTTTTTGTAATGCAGGGAGCGTTATGCGATCCAAATAAAGGAAAACAGACACGACATGACGAGATAAAAGATGATGACAATTATCTGAACGCAGGACTAGCCAGTAATATCAGGACACATTATGATGACATTGAATCTCCTTCACAAAATAATCTCCATACTCAGGTTGATAAAACTAAAAAGAATGTGCAAATGGAAAGCAATGCTGAAAATGAGTATATTGAAATTTAAGCGAAAAAGAACAGGGCAAATTTGAGGGCCATATAGCTTTAAATTTCTAAAAGTAGGCCAAAGATTACTTCACATACAAAACTTTATACATGATTAAAATGTGTAAGCTGTTATACTTCACTGGAAATAAAGAATTTGTTACACACGTCATCGGCGACGTGTAGCCATTCTGGACCACAAGGTGATGCTACATGCCAAATAGGACCTATCTAAGCTGTAAAAATTGTGGTCACTGACAAAAAGGTTTGAAAAGATATAAATATATAAAAGATAATTATCATGATTATAAGACGTACCACATATCAGCAATGAATATTTAAATAACAGTAAGAAAATAAGGCAGTCACAAATTGTTTCACTATTCCCTAACTTGAGTTGAGGGAGAAGTGACTTCAACATAACTTTTACTTAAAGATCATGTAACACAATTTTTTATGTTTTTATATCATAAATATGATGCCCAAATAAAGATTTATCAATGTTGTAAGTTCCAAAAAAGCATTATTTACAAAGATATTACCCAATTTAACAGTTCATGTAAATAAAGGGAGGTAATAAAAAATTTATTTTCTATAAAGTCTAAGCTATATATTTCAATAAGGAATGAATGCATATATTTCAATGATTACATGTAGTATGTAAAAATATTTGCTGTACATATTTTACATATTTTTTGATGTTTGAAAATTGTTTTATAAGTATAATTATATACATATATATAATTTCACTTAAGTGTGGTATACAATTTCAATTACAACATACAAGATCAGCCATGTTATGTATTTTTAAATAAAACTAAAGATGAGCTTATTTTTCTGACAGATTTTTACCTCCATGTTGATTGCTTGTTAATATTTATTTTTGACATGAACTATTTTGACCTTTTAAAGTAACTTTAACTTTGGAAGAAATGGATATCTTGTTAAAATAAAGATAATTAGTCAAGAATAACTTGATATATATTTTTTTCCATTTCCTTTCTTTTGCTGCCATTATAGAAGTATCTGATATTTTAAAAAGTTTATCCGATATCCCATACAATACCGTATCATAATTGAAGAAAATGCAGACGATAACCGTACTACCTAAATTAATAAAACAATTTCTTTACTCTTAACTTGCGTAAACAAAAATTTAGGGAGTGAAAATGAAATTTTTTTAAGACTTAAGAACATCAATAAAAAGGTTTATGAACCATTAACATGTACACCGGACAAATGATTTTAAACACCAAATATATGACATGTTTTCGACCAAATTGCCATCTCGCACGAGTGTAGCTTGTAAAATTAGGTGGTTCTTGCCAAAAGCGGGTTGTCTCAGAACAACGGACCACTGCTAATGTCGAAGCCTGGACTATATTACAAACGTGTTTTAAGTGGTAGGTGTGTTCTTTTTTTTACAGAATTTTGAAGACTTTTGAGAATTTTGGAGGCTGTAAAAAGTCGCCCCGTACATTCAATCAGGGATGTTATATTTCCGATCCTTAAAGATCGTTCAGCACGACATTATTGTTGTGCTTGTGGTTTTTCGTTCTTTCTTTTTGGCATCTTTCTTGTTGGGTGGTTCCAGTATTCCTCACTTGAATACTGTTGAATTACCCATATGTAGCCTGCTTTTTAAATTTGTCCTTTTGACGTCGTATCTGTGATATGCAGGCTTCATTTGCACTTTCCAGTACCGTCCATGAACAGGCTCAATCAAACCAAGCCTGCAACATTTTCAATTGTGCCGTGTTTAGCTTTCTTTATGGATTCTTATTTCTCTCTATTCCACAAGGAAACCAATTAGTCAAATTTAAGTGAAAAGGCAGGGAATGATCTGAAATTGATCTGAAAATTTACACAGAAGCTATTGGCTCAGACCTACATCATATGGTGCATTAATCTCGAAAAAAACATTTCCATTCCCGTTTTGTCAAAAAAAACGTCAATGGAGTCTCTTTAAAGTAATTTTTTAGGATTCTAGTTTAGTGAAGAACACAATGTTATGCGCTTACAAACTTTTCACTTTATCACTTTATCTAGATACAATTAACTCTAAAACTCTAAACTACTATTCTTATAGAAAAATTACAATTTCTTTTAATTGTGTACATTGAAAATGAAATTAATAATGAATCTTATAGTGTAAGTGTAACTTGCTGTTTTCGACTATACAATCACATATGACGCAGGTAATGATAAGGAACATATATTTAAAGTTTAGAGTTGATACCTTAAGAAATAAAAAGTTATAGTACAAAAAGTTTACTGCAAAAACTCTTCAATTAGACATCTGGACGCCGAGGTGAATATGACAGCTTTTCATTTGTAACATCGTAAAGTCGAGCTAAGAAGGAAGGCAACAAAACAGGGAATGAAGCAAGAAACGAACAAAAAGAGAGGAACGAAGCAATATTACGAACCAAGGAAAAGTAAAGTAATGGACAGAAAAGGAAGGGAAGGAAGGAATAATATGCAAAATTTATATAGAGCATTGTTTCATACAGGGGCTCAAAAATCTTTAAAAAGCAAATTCTTTTTACAACTGGCATTACCTTACTCAAAACAGGCATTACCTTACCGAAATAACCGCGATAATTATACAGTAAACTGTTGGGAGAGATATGCGACCATATGATACAAATATTTTCTCCAGTGTACAAAAGGTCTTAAGTTCTACCCTAGTATAAATTTCATGTAGAATAAACTTCCACTTCACAAAGAGTAAGATAAGATAAGGTATCATCCACTATCTGAAGCTTAAGAAATCTACCCATGATTGTACGGTCGCAAGTGATGGTGTAAAGAGCATTATTGGTGCCAGGTCCTTCGAAAGTTCCACATGCTTCCGCAGTACCTCCTTCTTCATTGCTGACCGTTATCTCAAGATGGTGCAATCTCTCCCCGCAGCAATCGCCACGATTCTTTATCACGACTCTCTTGATAGGGTATGTCCCAGCCAAATCCACTTGCCACCACGGATTTATTTCATGGTTAGTGTGTGTGCAAGGAGAGACACTCCAGTCCCCATATCTAACACCATCTACGGCCCCTGATGCTTGACCTCTTCCCATGGTAGAACTTTGTTCCGCATGCTTACCTTCAGCAAGATTTATTACCCACACCGTTGTTTTTATTTGCTCTACGTTATTTTGAACGTTTTCGATTATATTAATAACGTCTTTCATTTCATTATTCCGTTCGCTTTCATATTTATCCAGCTGTCTTGTGAACGACTCGATCACACTCTTTATCATTTCGTCAATGTGAGAGTTTATCTTATTCTCTAGATGCTTGAAATCTGCTTCCATGTCATTCAAACAATGTACCCCATTTTCATTTTGATTTGCAATTGATTGATACAGTTCAGCGTAGGAGTTATTGACTATATCAATAATGTTTTCAATGTCGTTAACATTCTTTTCAATGGCATTTGTGTTGTTTGTACGTATGATTTTTTCCGCTGCTACACCTTTATTCATGATAGTCAGGTAGTCTATCACCTGCTCAATGTTGTCTTGTATTGCTTTCAACTCATGAAATGCACCCGTAAGTTTATCTTCTAGTTTATCTGCGCGTATTTTGCAACTGAAATGTAAGAAGGTGAAAAAACATTGAAAGATGAGGGGGTGTATTGCAAACAATTGACAGACAAAACGTTGACACAACATAAAACCGACAAGTCTAAAGAATGACACAACAGAACATGGACGCAACAAAACACCGATGGGTTATGTTGATCTCATGTCGCAATTTGATACTCCATTTGATCATGTCTGTGTATCACCGTTATGTAAATAATAACGATATCAGCTGCGGTCATGCAAAAAAAGCTGACCTCCAATTGAATTACAAGCTTTGGTTTACACAAAATTCATTTTAATAATTCAATTGTGCAGAAAGCTATACGCTTATAGACATACTTTCGAAATCACAATCTTTATCTTTAGTTAACATTAAATTAGAAATCAATTGAAAATGGTTTGTTTATTTTTGTTGTTGATTTTGCAACAACGTTCGATGCAAGAATGGAAAACTGTTTGTCCGTGTTATGTCGCGATCCCAATAAAATTCATTATAATGTTAATTAAGCTTTTATATCATCATAATGTGTTTTATAGCATTCTATTATTGTTGTTAGTCGAATTAGTTAAAACCAAGTTATAACACTGACGTTGTCACACTTTTGATTTACAAGTACGTTGTCTCAAATACTTAAATTAACTTATATTTATCGACCATTGTAAAAATACTACCGTGAAAACAAGAAAGTCAAATTATAGGAATATGTGCAACAGTATATGCCTTTTCAATTGATAGAATATCATGTTAATTTTAGGAACCGTAGGGAAATTTCAAATCTTTTTTTTGGACAATAAACATAGTAAATAATAAATGCTAAAGAAGTTGAACTGATTTGGTAAATTTCACAAATATTTGGTGTTTCTCAATAACAAATAGAGAGAGGGGGGGGGGAGAGAATTTGTAATAATGATTTGGGATAATGCCTAAATTCACCTTATATGTTTTAAAAATGTAAAAAATGACACCAGCTTTATGAAATTTGAAATAAATATAAAATGTAATCATTACCTCTCATCAGTAGTTATATCTTCCAAAGCTTTAAGCCTTCCATCCTGGTATTTCAGTTCGTCAAAAACAAGTTTAAACATTTTTGATAATGTTTGATTCTTGTTATCAACCTTTTTTGCGAAAACAATTCTTATGAGCCCAATGCAGAAAACACCAAAAAAGAAAAAAAGACGTACTGAATTTTTAGTCTTCATTGTAGCGTGTGTTTTCTTTGAAAAAATGCTAGTATCGTGTTTTAACAAATATGTTTTGCTTAGGTAAGGCCTGTTCTGATTATGGTAAGGCCAGGTGAAAAAAATGAATTGGCTTGGTTAAGAACTGTATGAAACAACATTCTATATAAATTTTGCATATCTCTCCCTCCTTTTATTCCACTTTTGTACATTTATTCGCTTGTTTCTTTCTTTATTCCGCTGCTTCGGTCCTCCTTTACTTTTTGTTTCTTGCTGCATCCCTTGCTCTGTCCACTTCCCTTTTTAGCTCGACTATACAATGTAAATGAAGAGCTGTCCTATTCACCTCGGGGTTGGCGTCTAAGTTGGGTTTTGTTTTTTGCAGTATACTAATTTCTTTTTATTATAACTACTTTATTTCTTAAGATTTATAAAATGTAAATTTCAAATGTTCTTTATCATCCAGCATCTAACTTTTTTTTATATATTAAATAATTTAATGGAACTCTTTGTATGTCTCCTATCAACTCCCATATAAGGTTTATAAATCTAGCGTCAAAAAATTCCATGATTATCCCCCCTTAAGGTAGACCATGGGTAATGCATTACCTCCACTTTGAAGAGTATTCAAATAGGCTAGAATCGCTTGTAAACTACATTGAAATTGAGGGGCGTGGGTTCAAACCTCAGAAGAGGCAACTTTTTTTTTCTTTCTTTTTTTCTTTTTTACATTATTTATGTTTCTCTCTGATCCCTTATGGAAAAAAAAAAGTTTGATTTAAATTATATAATTATTTTAGGTATTTTTTTTGCTAAATAATGCCAAAATTTATAGCAAATATGATACCAGATATTTTCAAAGTTCGATAAAATAAAAACTACACGGTAAAAGTATTTTATATTTCGGATGATCAACTAATATACCTTTAAGAAAATTTAGGCAAACTTTGAAAACAGACCCTCATTTTGATAAATTTTAGGAATATTTTGAATAAGGCATTTTAGATAGGGAAATGGTAAAATTAGTGTTTAAAGTGGGTGGGGTAGGGTAACATTTTTATACGTATTAAGAACATTTTGTTTAGAAACAAACATTTGGCTTGTGTAATGTGTTACCTGAATGTTATTATTTGTTTCTTAACAATGAGCAATAGAAAAACATTTTTTATAATGATGATATTACCGATTATTTACAGTTTCCTCATTTCTGAAAATTATCCCTTCTAATGCCAAAGTCTTAGTTCAGAAATATATCCATAACTCATAAACCACACGGTAAATGTTATTTAAATTTTGCATACAGGTGACCTTGAAGACATATAACTGTCTTATGTTGTCAATTTTACAATTCTTTATGGTGCCCATTACCCATGGTCTACCTTAAGCTTAGAATTTGCCTAAGTTGTTCTATAACCTCATAATTTCTCAATAGCTTAAATTCAAATCCAAAAAATATGTTTATTGTTAACACCTTCATCATTTGTGATGACATATATTGTAATAATAATAAAAAAATTCAAATAATACCTTTTTACTTCATTCATTCATTTTCACTTTCTGTCATTTGTTGATCCTACTTTCGTTTTCGAATTCATGTTTATGAATGTTACTGCAAGATGACTTCTCTAGAAACTTGTTAAATCCTTCACTATTCAGCCTCATTCTGTACTGTGCAGATCCGCCATTTCTGTTTTTGACTGTGAAACAACCGTCTGAGGCGGGCTATTTGAAAAGTCTGCTTATTTTCGTTTTAACTTTGACGGTAACTTGCACTTTCCATTATCGGTCTTGAACAGGCACAGTAAAACAGAGCCTACAACATTTTCAATTTGTCATGTTGGGATTTCTTTAGGGATTCTTTATTCTCTATTTTATATCTCGCCACATCAGCGTTGTTTGTGCCGTGTGAAGGCTGTTATTTCTACCAGATTTTTACTTTAGTCATGATAAACCAAGTAATTTATTTACAATTGCCAATGAAAACTTTTTTAATACATTAATTATCTAAACAGGATGTTTTTGAGAGTTCGGAAAGCAAACATTTTTTTCCGCCAGAAAAATAAAACAAAAACATGTTTGTTATTTAAGACTGATTTGATTAAGATTCAATTTGTTGATGTGAAACAGTTTTGATATAATTAAGCATGTGTTTATGTTTTATTTTTGTGATTTTTAGATTGAATTAAATTCCCACTTTTTTCTACAAAACAATGTATGAAAAAAAACAGAGATCTATGTAATAAAGGAATAAATAAGGATACCATGTGGTAAAATAATGCCGACTAATATAGATAATTATTAAGATACAAAACGCGTCAATGTGCTAATTACTCAGGAAGTTGGCTATCTAATTAGCACAATTATATATCAATGGCACATTAATATTTGTATATCTGACACAATGATTTGTTTGTTTGTTTCATTTTATGCCTTTTCCCAACAGTATTTCAGTCATATAGGCTGGTGGTTTCATAACCGTCCTTCCTGGAGGATAATACCAGTACTAGACTATCTTCCTCCGCGCTTAACTACCAAAGTATCTCCCGGGGATCGAACCCACGCCAGAAATGTAACTGGATTAAAAGTCATCGACTCTAACCCCTCGACCACGGAGGTGGTCAACTGACTCAATGAAATATACATTCATGACACAATGAACTCTGCATTAATGACACATTGATATCTGCATTAATGACACATTGATATCTGCATTAATGACACATTGATATCTGCATTAATGACACATTGATATGTGCATTAATGACACATTGATATCTGCATTAATGACACATTGATATCTGCATTAATTAATGACACATTGATATCTGCATTAATGACACATTGATATCTGCATTAATGACACATTGATATCTGCATTAATGACACAATGATATCTGCATTAATGACACATTGATATCTGCATTAATGACACATTGATATCTGCATTAATGACACATTGATATCTGCATTAATGACACATTGATATCTGCATTAATGACACATTGATATCTGCATTAATGACACATTGATATCTGCACACATTGATATCTGCATTAATGACACATTGATATCTGCATTAATGACACATTGATATCTGCATTAATGACACATTGATATCTGCATTAATGACACATTGATATCTGCATTAATGACACAATGATATCGGTATTTATGACACAATGAAATATGTATTATTGACAAAAAATATGTAATTATGATTATGACACGATGGAAACTTATTTCCATTATATTCAAAGAAAATACGGAACACATATAATGGTAGTAGTTTTTATGCGAGGTATAAATACATGTATGTGATTGGTGGGTTAAAGTGAATAACTTCTGTACTTTGCACGTGTCCTATTTTAAAATCTTTGTTTACTTGTTTATTGATGTACAAATTTCTTGTCACCGCTAGGAAGTATGTACCTGCTGAGAAGGCAGTATAAAAGACAAAACGAAAAATAAACTCAAATCGGGTAATTCATTTCTTACATTTGGATCTTCTACAGGATATTATAATTATTTAGTACACAGTGTGTTATGGTGTATTTTTTTGCCAAAGCTATAAATAGATGCCCACCATTGTTAATGTCCGAAAATCTATTTACAGAAGTAGTTATAGTTAAACGAAACGGTCATTCGTGTCGCGCTATGGTTATAAAAAACTAACTTGAGAATTTTGCAGAAAATGAAATGCAAACATATTCAAACAATAAATTGCACTCTTTATACATTTATAGAAAAAAACTCAGTCGGCATTTTTTACAAATAGTAATAACATAGTATAGAAATGGTTATTGAAATATTCATTTAAAAATTGGCTCGTCAATTTTCTTTTTAAGGCCCTGATTGCACTTATGACATTCTTTGACCATGAATATTTAAATCGACCTAGTTCTGGCTTTCATAGCTTTATTTGTCGCTTTTAGTTTGACGTTGTGCGACAGTAAACAGGTCTAGCAGTAGTGTACTATAAAACACATTTGCAGTTCAAGTCTCTTTAGCTAAAATCGACCCTGATTTCCTGCATTTCTACTGTTCTATATTTTGCTTGAAGGCAATCATTTAAATGTTATTTGAGTGAAATGTTGATTCGCCGAACATTTTGACATTTTTACAACACAAACTTTTGTCTGCAGTTTTGACATGAGTTGTTATGGGTTTATTGATAGGAATTCAAACACACTGGTAGGTCAGACGAGGTTTTTGAAGCAATTCAACGAAATAGTAGATAGACCTCCCAGTAAATCAATTTACAGGCTTTGTTCATTTTGACTTCCTTTTTGTATGTTCCAAAGAAGATAATTTAATTTTCTAATCTCAAGCATGCCTATCGAAGTTAATGATGAACAATGTCTTCCGTCTGCTTTTTCTAAATGGTATACAATTCTGGTAAAATTCAACCACCCATTGAAAAGTCGATAAGAATATTTGTTCATCAGATCAATGCTTTTCTCGTAATAGCATGATATATGATATACCATTTGCCCCGAGACATGTAACGGACATTAAAAAAAAAATCGATGAAATTTTTTTTTGTTTTGGCTTATTTATATATGAATATTTCTTACCATTACTTGTTGATATTTGTAGCAAATGAATAGCATTATAGGCGAAAAAGAAAATGCACATGCTTTGATATTTTTTATAATCTTAACTTACTGACTACAGTAATGACTCAAACAGAACACACGATGTTGCACTACTGTCATGTCACATTACAAGTCTTGTTTGCATTGGAATTTTTCCAGGTAGGCATCAGTGAAAGCATTTTTTTAAATGTGGACAGTGCATACGATAAGTATAATTATGCAAATTTAATGATTTCCAAAACATCCGTAATAATTTGCAATCGTACTTAATCTAACTAGAAAAAAAGACATGTGCGCTTTAATATATTGTATAAGATATATAAACGACACTATAATGTTTTTTGCGTTCATTGTGTTGGAAGTATTTTACAATATTGAATTTGAATATTACAGTTCACATAATTGAGTAGTAATTGGAAAATCAGGATGGATCTAATAATAAATTTTATATCTATATCAATGACAACAACCAGATATTCGTTCATTTATTTTCATAGTTTATTTATTTACAGATCTAGTTACAATAATAACAACTTCATGGCGTGAGTTTGTAAATTATCTGTTGCAGCATTTCTTTCTTAACTGCATAAATATACCCAAAGCAATAGAAACCGAGCCACACGCCAGACAAATAAGGGTTCCACCTCTGATACATTTCATCCCATAACAATGCACTCCATCCCCTCCCGGACTTATTTTGTCATCATAAAATGCACCAAATGCTTCTTGAATACCAAAACCAAGTAACGAAGCTACGAGCAATGCAATCCCCCAATTCCTACCCAGGTTCCCCACGTAAAACATTTCTTTCATAATAGTTGGCGACATGGACCACACAATGGCCGTCCCAAAGCCAACAAGAACAGCAGAAATAACTAAAAAGTCCAGTGTTCCAGCAAGGAAAAACACTAAAATTTGTGACGCCGTGTAACATGTACATCCTAATATCAATATCCACATCCTGGGAAACCTGTCTTTGAAATAGTCAGATATAATACCGACTAGAAAACTTACTACAGCATTGGTTATTGGAATGATTAAAGTAAGTCTGTCATTATACTTATCTAGATGGAGTGATCCACTAATAACAGTGATATTGTTGGTATAAACAAGGCCAATCACAGATGCGAACGAGATAGTCCAAATCAATATTTCATAGTCTGCGTTAAGTAAAATTTCCTTCACACTCATGTGCCTTTCTGCGTCGTTATTTGTAATTGTAACATTATCTGTATTACTGTCACCATTGATATCACCTATTATGCTTTGCCGACCATTTCTTCTTGCAAAGCAAAATATCTCATGACTTCCGCCTGAATTTGAAGATGTTACAATCTCATTTGTATTAGATATATCATCCTCCACATTAACAAACCGTACGAATGGTTGTGATTCATCCTTATATATTTTGACGAAAAGTATACTTAAAATATCAACGATAGCAAAACTTATCGCAAACAGAAGCATAAATCCAGGGAAGTCTTGATTTGAAACGTCGGTAGTGTCTCCGTGAGAAAACACGTGGTAATACAGCGCAGCAAAAACGGAAGGACTACCTGCGAAAAATGCATTGAGCAAACCAACTATCTTTCCGGTATCCTTTTTATCGAAATTGATTATATTTGTGTTCAAAGCAACCATGTAGGTAAATATAGATCCAAGCCCTGAAAAAGAGTGGAAAAATAGCATTAGATTATCAAAGCTTACAATACGGCCAGTACACATCTGGAGGAGCCTCCACGCGAATGTTTAATTAAGCTGCGTTTAAGTCCACATATTTACTGTATTATTCTCAGTAAATGTGACTCAATATGATTTTCTGATTAGAAACGTAATGCAGAGACGTTTCCAACGTTCTTTACAGGTACCATCTCCGTCTACTTTTGCCGTAAACTGATTTTATCATTGACATTACGTGGAGAAGGTCATGAAATATATTGGATACTGCAATGACAAGTAAGAAAGTTTATTTCACACCTTATAAAATATAACCAATGAACTTTCATAGTTGAGGTCACGTGATATTCCTACAATAAAATATAACCAATGAGCTTTCATCGTTGAAGTCACGTGATATTCCTACAATAAAATATAACCAATGAACTTTCATCGTTGAAGTCACGTGATATTCCTACAGAAATCTTTATTGGATCCAATCTTATCAATTAAGTCTCGTTTCAAATTCTGGAGTGTCAAAACAATCCATATCAACTGTATATCGTACATCATATAGCCTCGTTTTAATTTTCAGAGTCAAAAATATCTATATCAAATGCATTTCGTGCCCTATATAGCCTCATTTTCATTTTCAGAGTCCAAAATATCTATATCAAATGCATATCATACAAATCCAATATAGTCCAGAATTTCGCATCATTATCCTAAATACACTACAAAAATGATGATGTTGATTCTACCGGACTCGTACACGCCTGCAAAATCTATATCAGACATGGATTGCGTCTCGTTCAATATATATTTGACAGCTGTGTACTCGTTCAACAAAATTTAATATTGTACTAAAATGTACAATAACCTCAATATATTTTACGGTCGCATAGAAGCATTCAAAAGCAGCCATTGGATGTCACTGTTAAGTATAGAATTATAATTATTGTTTCCATAAAATGTCGAGTACATGTACAATATTTACTTCTATTGGACAAATACAAAGTTGTTTAACTTATATTGGACCAGGGGCTTGCCAAGTCACATATAGGTATTGCTCACAGGGGGCCCACACAGTGTTTGGATGGTATATACTGCTTGATAGTGACCTTAAAATGAGATTTTAGTCATAACCTTATAATATGTATATAAATATAGACAAGGGGCATTACTCGCTAAATTGAGAATTTTCGATCACCCTCAAATTCATGCGAGATTTTCCACTAATTAAATAAAAAAATTCCAAAAACTATACTGCGTTGCATAGCTTATATAATCCACAATTGATAAACACTAACTCTATTTTGATTCCCTTAACCCATTTTAAGAAATTTATTCAAAACCGTTCACTTCTGTCACAAAATAGCTTAGTCGTACGAGATGTCGCAACACCAAATTCCACGGGTAAAATATCAATTTTAAAAGGGGGAGGTACAAATAAACGCATGCAAACAATAATACAACATAGTTTCTATTACCTACCTGCGCAAATAGTCGTGAAGCGCTCTATATTAGTCTGTTTCGAACGAAATCTTCAAATCAGTGCAGAAATCTGCTTCGACGTAGACATCTTGGGGAAACCCCGGTCACGTGACCAGCCGGTGTATCGAGACCTTTCATTGGTTCGGTAGGAACTTTGTTTATAACGACAACCAATGAAACGTTTCCATACACCATGACCAGAATTTCCAACATGTATTCGCCGAAGCAGATTTCTGCACTGATTTGAAGATTTCGTTCGAAACAGACTAATATAGAGCACTTCACGACTATTTGCGCAGGTAGGTAATAGAAACTATGTTGTGTTATTGTTTGCATGCGTTTATTTGTACCTCCCCCTTTTAAAATTGATATTTTACCCGTGGAATTTGGTGTTGCGACATCTCGTACGACTAAGCAATTTTGTGACAGAAGTGAACGGTTTTGAATAAATTTCTTAAAATGGGTTAAGGGAATCAAAATAGAGTTAGTGTTTATCAATTGTGGATTATATAAGCTATGCAACGCAGTATAGTTTTTGGAATTTTTTTATTTAATTAGTGGAAAATCTCGCATGAATTTGAGGGTGATCGAAAATTCTCAATTTAGCGAGTAATGCCCCTTGTCTATATTTATATACATATTATAAGGTTATGACTAAAATCTCATTTTAAGGTCACTATCAAGCAGTATATACCATCCAAACACTGTGTGGGCCCCCTGTGGTATTGCTGCTGTGTACGAGTCCAAAATAATTAATATTGTGCTTAACAATGTATGATAACATTTCCGTTTACACAGCCACTATTTGGACATTTTCGAACTGTTATTTCAAGTAAAATAGGGACTTAATATGAATTTTCGACTCTGAAAACCAATACGAGGCAACGTAGTACAATATAGTCATTTGATATGGTATGTTTAAACTTGCAAAATGAAAACCATGCTGTATTGATAAGACTGGATTCCATAATGATTTATATTTGGAGAGGAGATGGTGCAAACGCTGGCATTTCATTGGTTACATTTTATAAGGTGTAAAATAATCAATTTCACTCCCAGTTCTACTTCGCTCTCATATTTGTTTATGTGAAACTGTTAAACAAGTAATAGAAAGAGCATCGAAACACGAGGCTATCTGATTTGTACGAGGGGGCGTAGCCCCCGAGTATTAATCGGATTGCCGAGTGTTTTGATGTTCTTTCTCTTTTGTATCATAGTCAAACATAAAAACACGTCCACTTTTGTCACAATATGAAACCCCGGGAAAACGTAACCAATGAACAAGCATCTGAATATGATATTTCTGTCGCTTTTCCTTTCTCTTCCGTCACAATAAGTAAACCCCCAAAATGAGCCAATCAATGGACATGCTCTGGAGTGCGGGTAGCTAATACCTGCACCCCAGTTAACGCACTGTGCATGTATATGTATACGATTTAACTCGGACACATTTTCTACAGAAAGGTCCCTAAACTATGATACAACTGTTAATACCAATAAATTTTGAAGTATGCAGTCTATTACAAGAATATGATACCAGTATAAGTTTAAAACATTACAAATATACATGTACATGTATATTTGCATACTTTAAACATTTGTCAAATTATAATTTATTATTTGCACTAGCTGAAAGCTATACCAATTTGATAAGGAAAATGAAAAATGATTTTAAAATTATTATATTTCTCCAATAAATACCATCGGATTAAAACCAATGACATTATTCGTTTAGCAGTTCGTGTTATAATTCATGTTAAGTGGGTTGATAAACTTACCACATATAAAGAAGTAAATTGACATAAGCCATGCTTTACTGGAATAGAAGCTCACTGCTTTTGTTGAACTCCATATTAATAAGTAGGATGAGACAGAGACAAAAAGTCCCACGACAGAAGTCCACTGAGGTCCAAAATGATCGTAGAACATTCCTGGTAAAAACCCAACGCCGAGTCCGAAATTCAGCATCGAAGATAAGAGCTCAACTGTTTAAATAATAGAGACGGTTTATTTATTTTATGTTCTAAGGAATAATCATTTAGCAAAAGAAGTGCAAAGAAGATATATCAAGCTGGCATTGATATATAATATTTTTTAGTTGTTGCAAAACAAATCTGAGTACGTTAGTGTAGAAAGCTATGGAAAATAAATACATGAAAATAATTGCCTAGTTTGATGTAGTTCATTCGTGAGAGTTATTTAAAATTTCTCATGCTTCCTGGCACCGGAATGAGTAATTTACAATATTCAACACTTAGTTTTGAACTCAATGATCACTAAGAACAAAAATAAATATGATTACGCTGAAGTAACATTATTATAACTTGTAAATACGGAGGTATGAATGCATCTTTATGACATACATAGAACTAAATAGCATATTGTCTAATTATTCATCTGTTCAGTATATCATTCTAAAACAACATATCACACATGCAAGTGGTCATGAAATTGGTAAATTAGAAATGGCAACATATTATGTTAAACTAAAGTAAAATACATGTAAGGTTTAGTTACATGTGAGATTAGAAAGATAGATATATCCGACTACTTAGTTTTTTTTCCATTTTTATGTGAACATTTACATTGATACCCTTTAAGTTGCTGTTGTTCGCTTGTCACAACATGTGACACCCTCGAGCGTTTTAATCTAGTCGAGATCAAAATAGATAACTAATTAAAGTAATGCAGTAATAATCATATTATTCCCATTTAGATTTGTTGATTTCCTGTTAGTTGCCGCAATGTGTCTCTATGTAGCAAGATATTTTGGTATTTTCGTTGCGCTGCTGTTTCTTGTTTATCTTAATCCTAATACCTTTTAGAACCTTTCGTTTTATATAATATAGTTTTCTGAATATTTAATTAACATAAGTAACAAAAGGCACAGTTAAATAAATGATATGTACTATGAATACTTGCTCACCTTCCTTCTGGGTATAGTTGAACGTATCTTTGAGTGCATCTTGATAAACGCTGAACACAAATAAGGAGCCCGTTGTAAACTTTGCCGCACACCCAATTACTAGCCCTAATATTTTCAGAGCTGTTAGCTTTTTCATCTTGAACAATATTTTCCGTTTTACGAAAACGAAGATGAGCATAAATATCCCGCCTGCATTGCTTACATAGGACTGGTTTTTACAAGGTATAACACATTTAGTGTACTAATTAATATGTTAATCGTATGACATGACAGTGTCACCACTAAATGATATCAAACTTTTAAACTGAAATATTTATGATAGTTATCTCCTAACAATTGATAACAAATGATAACAAATGATAACACATTTAATCGAACATTCTTATCATATTATTTTGTTGTTATATATTAAACATTAAAACAAATTTAATATAAAATGTTTATTGAATAGTAGTTCTTACATTTTTATAATTATTTAGAATATTTTCCAATGTAAAATATATGCTTTTCAATCGCCATTTTGTTTCAGTTATACCAAATAGTGTTTAAACTGATATGTTACTGGCTCATACTTGACAATGAAATCTAGCTGCTATTTAAATGTGAAGCTTTCGTGCCCTTATTTATTTGTGTTGCTTTTTTCGAACCATTTTATCGTAGAATGAATCCAAAAGTAGGTGACAGCAAACGTTTGAGTGATATATTGCATCTACATGCAGAAATGAATGCTCATTATTTCTGTCTTTATTTCTTTTTCGTCCATAATCTCACTAGTTTCAATTTCGAAACTTGTTACTGTGGTATCGTGGGCTTTGTTTCAATCATAGACAGTCTATAGAGATCTGTTTGACGTAACCAACACGACTTTTGATGAGATGAAATGCCGGACAACTTTTAAAAACTGCCACACGGTATTTGACACCTGCTTATTTAGTTAATGATTGAAGTTAATAATTGTCTTTAGTTATCAACATGCTCATAATTAATCATGACAGGGTCTTTGGAATTTTTCATGTGAGGAAGCTGGTTAGCTTGCAGAACGCCGGTGGTTCTACCGTTCTACTCAGGTGCCCGTTCGAGGCTGAAATAATGCACGGAAGGGTACCCGAGGTCTTCCTCCACCGGTACATCTGGAAAGCCGCCATATGACCTATGCTGTGTTGGTGCAAAGTAAAACCGTATAACAAAAACAAACATATGCTCATAATTAAAGATATTAAAGATTCAAACTAAGTTTAAGCACAGATCTGGAACGTGTTAACTGTACCTTTTACTGGTTAACGTACACAGGTTCAAAGCATACATCGGAAACATTTTCCTTTTTAAAATGCAGATGCATTTCACAAGCACACACTTGTTATATGTATACCCAAGGAACGGTGTTTTATCTGAACATTTGTTACTACTTCCTCTTTGCGTTATTGTAACTATATTTTTAAAGAAGATTTAAGGGATATCTTAATTTTGTAACAACATCTATGGGGGAAAGTAAAGATAATAAAAGTAAAATAATGTAGATAAAATAAAGAAATAAAGTAAGGCAAAGTAGAGTAAGCGAGTAATATATTGTAACTAAAACGTTAAAATTATTAAGAGTGGGACATGAATTGCAAATTTGTTTAATATTCAATTCATGTATTACGTGACAATATTAGTTATACATAATAAAAACTTAATACATGTATATGTTATTCTAAAACTAAACAAGAACAGCTAAAATATGTTCAGAATTTTGTAACGATTTTCCTTAAAAATATTACAAATTGTCTCCAATAATACAGAATCTTCTCCTATATGTCATGTAGAAAAAAAAGCTTTTAAACGTGTGAAAAATTGTCGGCGTACATTGTTATGCACTTGATTGTCTGTCCATCTGTTTTAGCAATTTCGTGTTCGGTTCGTTTCCGGTCTGTATATTTTGAACCGGTGGAAGGAAATTGAAAGTACATGTACTCGACAGAAATGTTCTCCTTGCTCTGGTCAATGTCAAGGTCACTCATTTTGTATGAATTTCAAAATTTTATGCTCGCTCCGTGTCTTTTTAACCAAAAGTAGGAAATTAAACTTCTTCTTAAAAAAGACGACGTGCAGAACACAAATTGGGCTTCCTGTGATAGAGCTTAGAGCTTAGATATTTGACATATAGCATTGCCTAGTTGGCCTCTCCAAAACTGGAGAAACTTGGGTCAATAATGGCCCGCTCCTTAGGTCATTTAGTTCGTAAAGCCTTGTACGAGAAAACACATTTCAGTCTTTTTTGTAAAACTACAATGCCTAGAGCTTAAATATTTGTTAACCTCTACAAAATTGATAAAAATCATTACCTTTGGTCAGTATTGGCCCAACCCGGTCACATTTTTGATATAGGCTTCTTAGGGAAAACTACTTTGAGTCTTCTTGTGATCAAACTACAATGCCCAGAGCTTAGATATTTAGCACGTAGCATTTCCTTATTGGCCATCACAAAACAAACTGATATTGATTTTCAATCATTACCTTAGGATCAATATAAGGCCCCGCCGGGAGTCACTTTACTTATAAAGACTTCTATAGAAAAAAACCATTTTAGTCTATATGTGTGAAACTACAATGCTAAGAGCTAAGCTATTAAGCGTGTGTACCTCTGCAAAACTGATATTAATCATGCCTCTGATGTCAATATTAGCCCACCCCGGGGTCATTTGATTTATATTGACTTATATAGGAAATCAATTTAGGTCAAATAATAAATTATGTTATATAATTACGTTTTAAAAAATATTCAAATAACTATGTTAGTCACTCAGAATGTCTTTCCCACCAAGACTGTATCACTGGTAATAAGAATAGTATGATTGTACCTACACCAGTTGCACCACCTATCACTTGATGCGGAATTACGTAAGACCCCGAGATGTCTCTCAAAAAACCTGGAAATTTAAACAACAATGTATACATGTAGACTATAAACATATGAGCCGCGTCACGACAAAACCATCATAGTGCGTTTGCGACCAGCATGGATCCAGACCAGCCTGCGCATCCGCGAAGTCTGATCAGGATCCATGCTGTTCGCTATCAGTTTCTCTACTTGTTATAGGGTTTGTAAGCGAACAGCATGGATCCTGATCAGAATGCGTCTGGATCCATGCTGGTCGCAAACGCACTATGTTGGTTTTGTCATGACGCGGCTCATATTAATTTGTTGAACATGCATGTTTTGAAGAATCAAACAATTTGTTAACTGTTGAATAACATCTGAACATAAAATCCAACATTTCGTGTTTTATGAGTTTGTGCATATTATGAAATCAATGTTTGGTTTATTTGTATATTACTATTACGATGTTTTATTCATATTGTTTGCTATTTGTTTTTGATAAATTATAGGAATAATATGACAATAACTGACATTGTAAAAATACTAAGATAAAACATTTTTGTCTGTTAGGTTTTGAAAGGATATATACCAACTAAGTAAAATGATCCTGCCACAGAGAATCCATGTACAAGGGCCATAAATCCGAGACATGTTTGGAAATGAGCGAGTGTCAAGTAATCTATCAGCACAACAGCGAATAATGAAAAGTATACGCCGGACACAAGTCCTAATACTATAGAGTAGCATAAAAGCATAGTGTAGTTTGTATAGAATCCTAATAAACATGAGGAAAGAGAAATGACGGCGGTTGAAAAGGCGACAATGTTAGATCGTCGAACCCAACCTTTATCTGAGATGTAGCCAATCAAAACGCGTGATAGCAAATCTATACAACTTTGTGTAGTTACTAATGTTGCAGCATCGTCAATGTCTATACCTATGTCTTTTGCATATGGTGCTATAAATATAGGTGCCACCACGGTGCCTGAACAGATCAAAGTTCCTTGTATAAGAAAAGCATAAAATACTGGATTCTTGATAAGTTTGAAGTTGTCCTTGCTACAACAAGAACTGTACCAAGCTACCATGTGTTCATCATCCGGGATACAAGCTTGTTCGTCAACTTCACGTTCAAAAATTTCTTTATGTATGTTTTCAAGTGTACTGTTATGACAGTTTGTTGCAGCCTTTCTTACACCATTAGGAACATTTATTTCCTGTGAATCATGTGAACAGCATTTTCCCTGTTGTTTCTTAGATCCGTTTGTATCAGCTAAGTCACATTGCTCAGTTTTAACTAAATGACCACAGTCGATTATAAGTTTATATTTAACCGACTCAGCGTCTTTTTCATTTGCGCTTAGTGTTTCCTGATTGTTCTCAAAAGGCTCTTTGCATGAACTAAAAGTGTCTGGTCTTCTTCCAAGCTTTCTCGTTTTCAGAAGCGGAATTGTTTTCCCTGATTCAGCGTCATATGACGTCGTTGGTCTAAATAATGCCCCACTTATACACCCATTCATCAGTATACCAGCTAAAATGAGCACACACCCTTGATAGCCATATATGGAAAGAAGTCTTGTTATGAGTGGAGCAAATATTAGACCTCCCACTGGTCCACCACTAACAGCAATGCTATTAGCCAGACTACGCCTTTTCTCAAAATAAAGGCTCACCATGGTAAGGGCGGTAGGCTGCATACATCCAGCACCAATACCTTGATAAAAAACAAATAAAATAGTTTAATAAGTAAACGTTACAGTATGTGTAGGCAATCAAAATTTTAGGCAATTTGAGTCACATCATTTAATTCCTTTTTATTCATCAATAAAAACAAGATGATACGTTTCGAATGTTTTCATAGAGACAAAAGAATCAGTTGATGTAAGTTTTAAGAAATTAGCACTTGTGTGTGTTTTGAGAAATCCAGAACTACTTGAATGACTGGTTGTTTAGATAAGCTTTGTTTTAAATGAAGGCTTTAAATGACCTTTTCTGTAGTTACAGTTTAATGTTTGTTTAATGTTTTGAAATTATCAGTTTATTTTTTTCATGCTGATTTCTATTTATTCTTCATCAGTATTTAATGTCAAAATTTCAAGAAAACGTTGGTAAACAGTGTGACAATTCTGCAATGTTAAGAAAAGAAATGACAACTGTTACTATTAGAGTATGTCATATGAATATTACAAACTAAAGCACTCCAAAAATATTGCAAAAAAGTAACGCTATGCATAAGGTGATAACAATTGCCTACACTGACTGTAACACATTTTAATGGTTTAAGTTATTAGTCCAACGCAAACTTTATAACATATTTCAGTACTTTAGATGGATACGCAATACAGAATGTATTGTAGTTATAATTAGTTTTAACAAACCGTTTTAAAATTATTCTGATGCATCAATTTGAAATTATACACAAATGAAACCTTGAAGAACTCCGTGTGAAAACAGTAACACACGAATATCTGTGGCCTGAGATGTTATGACGTAAGCAAGACAGGTGATGGTACTGCCTATAAACAGGAGCGTGCGGCAAGTCGTAAATCGTATCCCAAAAGTCATCACAATGAGAGCTGTAACAAAATATTAACACTGTAATGGACCAAATAACGACTGTTATTTATTTATAGAAACATTCCTAAATAGTAAAACAGCATTTGATATAAAGGCAATGCAAACATTTTTTTATCAAACATAACATATCAGTAGTATCAATAACTGTTTATGTTAAATGCATAATGTAAACATCACTTTCTTCTGTTCTGAATAATCTGTGAGAAACTATGAATACAACAAGAAAAATCCTCTTAAAACCATTGTTTCTAGTATACATGTGTAATAATATAGAGCCTTTATTATTTAATGTTCTTTACCCATGATGCTTTGACATATATTTTGGACGGTTGACAACAATGACGTCACAGAGGAACTGGAATAAAACTTCTCTTGGAACGCAACAAACAGTATTCCAGACGACTTGACAATCCCAACAAGAAGGAACATTTCAAGAGATGCACCTGCAAAACAGTTGTAGTACAGAACGTTATTTCTGAATTCAAATTTTGATACAAGAAAATAATTTAAAATAATCCATAAAGGTCGTGAAACAAGAAAGCATTACCGTTAAAGTCTCGGATTGATAAACGCAGGTGATAAACGCAAACTACCACCGGCTGTTGCAGAACGCAATAATGGTTCATTCGAACAAAAGGAAACGAGCAAAACATATTGGCCTAATTTTGTGCGCCAGACTATTATGTTTTAATGTAAAATTCGACAGTTGTTCTCACATTTCGCCTTACACTTTCCCTGGTATATGTGTATTAAAGCGCCCCTATCCATCAATGTGCTTATAATACTAAAGGGTATACAGAAAATAATCACGTGTACATACTCCAGAAAATAATCACACATACTCTGCTATATTATCATTTCTATTTTAAATTACTGTTGTATGAATGTACATAGAAGGATAAAACATTTAATCATTAACTATGACTTCATGCCTACTATTAAAGTCAATGTAAAATGAGCTGCGTCATGACAAAACCAACATAGTGCGTTTGCGACCAACATGGATCCAGACCAGCCTGCGCATCCGCGCAGTCTGATCAGGATCCATGCTGTTCACTTACAAACCCTATAACAAGTAGAGAAACTGATAGCGAACAGCATGGATCCTGATCAGACTGCGCGGATGCGCAGGCTGGTCTGGATTTATGCTGGTCGCAAACGCATTATTTTGGTTTTGTCATGACGCGGCTCAAATGTTATTTTAATAAAGAAATAAACAATATACCTAACAATACAAACCATGCCCAGCCATGGTCTTTCGGCAGTCTTCGAGCCTTACTCTTGTATTCTACATCACCATCACCTTCTTCTTCTCCTTCTTCTACGTATAATTCTTTATTCATGTCCATTTTGATGACAAAATTCAAGATATGTACCTTTTCATTCTGACACTACCTTTATCATCCTCTGTAAAACATTCACAAACTTGTTTTACAACATTATGTGTAATAAAAATCACATTTTATGCTATGCATTGTTTGTAAAACATATGTAGTGTTTCTGTATTGTCATCAATGTCATTAATTCATTTTATTTACATATTTTGCAAAGAAATTTTAATTGTAATACAATGTTAACAAAGCAAATCTATAGTCTTATATATAGTCTTATCGGTTTAATGTGTTTTTGTTGTACTTCCAATTAGATATAAAACACATCTATTTGTAATTTTATAATGAAATTTGGTGTGCAATTTATAATCATATATTTGTTTTGTTTAAACTATATTTAAAATACAACGAAACAACAGCAAATGTAAAACTTACACATCCTTTCCTGCAGTGTTTGTTAAAAAATCCTTAAAAAAATAAACAGCAAATTGTTAGTATCTAAACACATATTAACTATTTCAAATGCAATTTTACGAGAAAAGTATCCACATCATGAAATTTCATGAAACAGCACAGATCATATTTAATCTATTAAAAAATCTTATTTTCTTTAATTACTAGAAGATAGTATTATCCATCAATTGATATATTTACACACACAATTTAACAATTTTCTATCAAATTAAGCTCATTATCATAATTTATCATATAAAACATGTTTAACATCATTTACAGCCATTGGGTGATAACTACGTAGCATTTGTTTATGTCATGATTCAACAGGGTAATATCTATGCAAGGACACAGGGTACACTCTCGTACATTTAACAGTGAACGTGCGCTCGAATTAAAGTCAGGTGATCTTGAAGCATACTTTTATTGAAATTACATAACTGGATAACCTCAACGTGATCAGCTTTTCTCATTGTCACCTCGTCTTACTGTTTAAATTTCGTTTTATGTTATAATTTGCAAGGACATCTTCGTGTACTGATTGAATATATTTTATCAATGAAAAACAAATCCTTTACTGTATGTCCATATTATATTATACAGATCGAACACATTGCAGTGGTTTACACTACAGGAATAAATGAGAATTGGTCTACAATGAAAAGATTTTTATATAAAAAATGTTGATCTAGTTCTAAGCTATTGAGTATGAACATTTATATGAAGTAAAATATTTTGTTGTTGTTCTAGAACACTTTATTATCTTCTATAATTATATTAATATGCAATATCGGGTCATGTCTCTCATACTAACCAACGTCATGCATAATTGATTTGTTCGTAGTTTTTGTCACTTATGATACTAAATAGTATCAACATAATTATTAAGGGTATTGTATATTTGTTATTGTGAACCATTTCACTTTAAGTTTACAAAAGATCACGCACTATCCGTATTTCTTTCTTTCTTTAAGTGCACATGTATAGTGTCAGGCCTCTAGATGGTAAAAATAATATTGAAAATTACAGAAGGAAGAACAAACAAATCTACATATCAAATGGTGTCTTCTTGTGTATTTCCAGGTGAAAATTTTATAGTACACATTTCTACATTTTTTACACAGGTTTTCAGACTTTAATCCATGCAAGACTGTTAAATACTATTCCTTCCTTGCAATTTTCACTTAATAATAATAGGAATTATTACCTTCAATGTGCATTTGAAAGTCCCTTGCAATGCTCACCGGCTAATATCTTATATTCATGCTCTCATTTTAATCATTATCTTAAAATGAGAACCGTAGTAAGGCACTGAATAGCTGACCAATAAAAGCCCTAATATGCAGTTACATGTATCTGAGATAATATGCATAGATATTCAAGTTGTTAGCCCTTGCGTTATGAAGGTCGTCTTGTACACTGTAGTCAATATTGCTGCTATGTCAACTGATATGCTTCACATTCAACGGGATAATAAATAACTTACAGGAAGCTCTTGCCTTTGTCTACACTTACCTGTTTGTTTTCTGCGTTTAAACTCTTCACCGTTAAGAAAAGCTTAAGACGCAGAAGCAACAAGACCACAAAATCGCAGGAGAAGGAAATCTACGTCAGACACCTACACAAAAGAGCGGAAGAAAATAAAAAACACATGAAGTTTAAGCGTATTTTACCAACGTTAAATCTTTATAGCTAACAATGTTTACTTTACATGTTTGAAAAGTCTTTCAAATACAAATAGGAGTTACTGAAAAAGAAACTTTTATAGTTCAAGAACTCAAAATAGGATAGTAGCAGCAACTCATTAAACTCAGCTTCTGATCAAGTGAATAAGGTCGTGCAAGATCAACAAGGAAAGGTGGTGTTCAATGAACGCGACCCCCACACGACCCAGCAACAATAACCAGCGGCAAGGAGCCCAGGAGGACCCAAAACAAAACGAGGACCGGACACAAGGCAGAGCACGGACAGAATAATATTCAAGACTAAAAAGAAAAAAGAATAGAGAGAAGCATAACAGATTTTGCCAAATGTCATGAGTATACATGAAATTTCTGATAGGTTCATAAACAAACATCACTATCCTTACTCACAATGAATATATAAATTTGTAAATCTTCATTTGTAATTTCAAAAATTTGATTTGTTGTTGTTCTTGTTTTTGTTGCAGGAGAATTACGCAGCTTGTTTTTTTAAATAATAAGTTTTGATGATTTTACTTCTTTTAGAGTCAGTTATTTTCAATAGCTCTGATAATACAGCGAACGAGAGTTATTCGCCTCAGGACGCCTGATATAAAAGTAATCGTTTAAGGTCAATCAAATCTGACGATGATTGTTTTGTTATGTTAATTCTGTTAAAGAAATAAATGTTAACACAAAAATACTCACTTTTATTGGTTATGGTCCAACTTATTTGTTCAAGGATAAAATGCAAATCTGGAAAGTTTTTTCTCCTGTCTTCGCACTTTACCATAACAAAAATGCTATGACAAATTCGTTAAGTACGATCTGTTTTTCCATATTTTCATTTTAAGTTGCTGTAAAGTTATTTTTTATGTTTGTTCTTTATTATTTTTCACCTTTATTACTTCATTAGTTTTCTTTCAAATGTTTGTTGCCTTACTTATTATAGCATTAATAAGTATTATTCTGCACCATCGTAAAGCCAGTGGTGGTGATCAATTGATAATACAATCAAATGAACTGTACATTTTTATTGAGTAGTTTGATTTCTTGGGCATTGTAATGTTTTGAATACGTTGTCTTTTTTTTACTTGGGGACCATATGCCGCTTATTATGGAATGGCACTAATGTGTTACATTGAAGGTTACACGATAACCGCCATATGAACACATCTGTTGATAACCGCCTCCGTGGTCGAGGGGTTAGAGTCGATGACTTCTTATCCAATTACCTCTCTGGCGTGGGTTTGATCCCCGGGAGATGCTTTGGTAGTTTAGCGCGGAGGAAGGTAGTCTAGTACTGGTGTAACTCTCCTTTAACGATGGTTAGGAAACTACCCGCCTATATGACTGAAATACTGTTGGGAAAAGGCGTGAAATGAAACAAACAAACAAAAACAAACATCTGTTGATGTTTTAAAAATAGATATTTTACCAGTTCATATTAAATGTTGATTCAACCAAAGTCTGTGCTAAGGGGCGTGGGCGGTAGCTTGCAATTACAACTACCATCCAAGCCGAGCCTGCAACATTTTCAATTTTGACGTGTTTTTCTCTTGTTATTTGGATTGATTCTAATGCAATATATATTCGGATGAAATGACGGGAGCGTTGTCAACAAATGGGTCAATTGCGTACACGTTAAATCGAGTTATAAATTGAAACGGGGTTTTGTAGGTTATTTTTAGAACATTATAGATTTGATTCGTCTGCTGCGTGTATTATGGGCGTAAAAGAGAAAAAAGTCACTAGAAAATTGTTTGAAGAAGGATGTATCAAATACGTAAAATGTGCCCAGATCGACGGTGTAAAGGTTAAAGAAAGTAAACCGAGCAGAGAGATTCTTTATAAAATATTCATAGAATGGGCAGGAAACCAACGGTAACACAAAAAATGTAAAGGAGGTTAGACAGATAAGTAAAAATTAGTGGAGAGACAGTTTACATGATTAAACTACTACATTTAATGAAAACAGATACCCATTAGCTGAAATAACATTACTATTTCATTTACATAAGCATGACTTCATCTGCGGATGTTTCTCAATTCAAAATTTGACCATTTTCATGTTCTGCTTAAGCTGGTGCCAGTGGGCGTGGACGGTAGTTTGCATAACCGTCCATTATACAGGCTCAACCAAACCGATCCTGTAACATTTTCAATTTTGCCGTTTTTGACTTTTGACTTTGAGATTCGTATTCTTTTAATTCTGTTATTTTGAAATCGCTCGGACTAAATATTGCACTTTACTGTATATGTAATTTATACATTGATTATCAGATACGAATTCTTTTTTTTTTGTCTCCACTTAAGAAAGGTTTTAATTTGAATTGTTAAGTCGGTACATGGGTACATGTCATAAAGAAAATGTGTCATATCGCTAGATACCGTTAAATACTTCAAAAGCTTAAGATTTAGATTGTTATATTACTGTCCACTAAGGATTCGAACACAAGTCAGACATGACATATGAAAAAAATTAATACATGTTCATTGTTGAACACTCCAATCTTTTCAGTGTGGAAATCTATTCCAGTTCGTTTGTCTTGAAATAGTGGCGAGTGAGTTCTTTGAATTTAGTACAAAAATCATGCAAATATAAATTGTTTCTTGCATATGAATTTACTCAACATTTATTTAAGTATTATTAAAATGATTTTATACTTGAAGCCTGTCTGCCGTGATCGCGAAAATCCAAAACGTATTTCTCTTTTTTCACCTTTTTTCCCCCTTCATTTTTTAAGGCAGATCTGGAACCAAAGTGATCCATCGGAAGCATTAATTACAACAAAATTACATGAAAATTGCAGACTCGGTTTGATTGAGTCTGTTCATGAGGGATAATGAATAAGTGCAACATTCCTCACGCCAACTAGCACCGGCTATAGCGGTATATAAGGGCGGTACTCAATTCTCAACACGTAATAGAGCTTAAAAACACTATGACAGCATATTCTGCTTACATTTTTGTTTAAACATATGCAATTAAACATTATTAGATACTTTGAACAGTTAACTAAAGTGGAACTGGATATGAACGTTTTCTTTATTTCTTTTTCGGGCTATGGTCTTTCTGGTATATGCAGATATTTCATGCGAGATTAATAAGTCTCCGTTCAATTTTACATTTTGGCAAGCATAGCATTGGGTCGCGTCGAAAAAAGTAAATTAGCAATATGTGGTTCCTACATCAATTAATTAATGTTTTGACAGCATTTCAAAATGTGGATCCATAATAACCCTGATTATGAGTATAAAATAATCTTCAAAACATTCTAATTAAAATTATTCTTCGGCTGTGTAAATGATGCATCAATGTAAGAAAGACGTTGCTGTTACATGCTACTGCAACAAATTGCATGTTAACATTTTCAATGCACATAGACGTCATGAAGGTATGCATTTCTGTTTAGATTAGAACATTTATTTTGTATACTTTTTATTTTTATGCTTGAATACTGTGTATAAGATAGAATTCCAGAATTTTAGAGTTGGAATATTATACTCCAATATCTACTCACTTAATTCAAATTCAAATGTTTCACATTCTCCTTTAATTAATCGTGTATCAGCCGCTTTAATTTCGTCATTATTGTAGAAATAGTTATTGGGTGGTAACTTTCAAGCGTTATTATTTTTGTAGACGCTGGATAACAGGCATCAAAAACATAATAATGGAACCTATGCCTGTAGTTGCACCGATCACCTGGTGAGGAACTATGTATGACCCCGATATGTCGCGTAAATAACCTGAAATGTATAAACATGTATCATATGCCAACTTTGTGTTTACTACTGTTATATTTTGCATTATATGTGAGCAATATTTCTATTTCAGTAGATAATTTTGTTCATTTTACGTGTCTCTATTTGTTGATAAGCACTCTTTATCAATAAAGTTCTATGAAAAAATATAGAAAAACGGAATCTCTAAAGTACCGCATTTCTAAATCATTTAAGTGCGTATACATTTGTTTTGATATAGTGTAATGGAATTTCAGCTTTTTTTTTGATAATTGTACACGATATACACGACTTTCCAAGTAAATTGTTTCTTAAAGCCTCTTTGAATACTAGTACATTAGTTCAAATCCTGGATACGGAACATTTTTTATGAAACGAATGATTTAATATAAATTATCTTAAGCGAATCAACATGCAACGCGTTTTTTAAATCATGGTTTCAAAACATATTCTCCCTTTCGGCAAGCAAACAAATGTTTATGGAATTCTATGAAACAAAACTGTGCCTTTATCTTTTACAAGAAATCAAGCAAGAAATGATCACGTGACATTTCGTTCATACATACCTACAAGGTAAAATACCGCGGCAATCGAGAATCCATGTACAAGTGACATAAAACCAAGAGATGTCTGAAAATTTTGAAGTGTTAAGTAATCGATGAGAACTACTGTATAGAGGGAGAAATACACCCCTGACACTAGACCTAAAACAACGGAATAGCCCAGCAGAAGTGGAAAGGTTGTATAGAATCGCAGAAGGCTAGACGACACGGCAACCACCATAGACGCAGTAGCCACAATAGTTGATCGCCGAACCCAGTTCTTATCAGAAATGTATCCTATTAACAAACGAGCAAATAAATCTATACAACTTTGAGTGGTAACTAAAGTTGCAATGTCTTCCGTGCTAACATTAATGTCTCTTGCATAAGGAACTATAAAAATTGGTGCAACAAGGGTGCCAGAAGCAATGAAACTACCTTGCAAAAGAAATGCCAAAAATAAAGGATTTGTTAATAGTTGAAAGTTGAAATATTTACAGAAAATATGTCTCTTTAAATCATTTTTATCATCTTCCCGATTTATTTGCTCATTAATACTTTCCACTGAAGTATTCACATCAAAAGAATGAAAAGTGTCTTCTGAAGTTTCTAATAATTTATGTGTCTTCTGACTTTTGACAATATCTGTATAAACACTGTTTTCCTGTTTTCTATATTCCAGGGTAAAATTGTTGGGGGATTTTTCAAATGTTACCTTTGAAAAGTTGTCTGAAGCAGACAACGACTCCTGATCCAATATCAAATCACCTTTTTTTAAGCTCATGATATCAAGATTACTATGTTTCTGCATTTTATGATTACTTATAAACTTTTGTCTTTCTTCCTCGACTTCTTTTCCGACATCTCTAAGTTTTTGTCTCGCTTTTCTATCTGTATAGAATGAAGTTGGTCTAAAGAAAGCTCCACTGACACAGCCGTTTAATAAAATACCCGCCACAACTAGCACACATCCTTGATACCCGTAGGTCGCCAATAAATGTGTTATAAGAGAGGCGAACACGGCTCCACCTACCGGACCGCCACTAACAGCAATACTATTCGCCAAGCCACGTCTTTTCTCGAAGTATAAACTCACCATTGTTACGGTAGCTGGAAGTGCTGTTCCAACACCAATACCTGAAACGTTTGCTTCATCATTAGTACATAGTACATACCAACGAGGACTTCCTTAAATAATAGAGACCGACCAATCAACCCATAAACATTTATAGACCGACTCCAAAGATTGTGACAGGTTTAATATATTAGCTGACTTGGAGACAATTATACGCAATTCTTCATTAAAACAAACACATTTTCGAATATTTTTATACTCTTAAACTGTACTTTACTACACATATTTCATGAAAAGAAAGGACAATTTAGAATTTTATTGTTTCAGTAACAAAATTTGAACTTAATTTTGTTCAGTCATTGCTCTTATAAATACATGTAAATGTATACTGAAATATTGGTATTGTACATATATAGCGTTACAATTAACACTGATCTTTTGGGATAGTCAGTCTAATTATCAGACCCCTAACGTCATCTTATTTAGTAAATTAGTAATAAGTCTACTCATTCTTACATAACTCAGAGATTGACAATAATAGTATAAAGTATGGAAGTTAATTTTTAGAAAGTAAAACTTGGTAACTTGACAATTTAGTATCCTTTTTATTTTTGGTTATACCTTTAAACCGTAACATATTTCCATTCTTACATGTAACAACAATAAAAGGGGAAGGAAACTACACTAAATTACCATCTTTTTTATTACCCCGAAGTGAAGGACCTGGAAAACATGCATATCGTCATGTTAATGCATATACTTTGGAGAGACTAAGAACGGCGAGTGCGTTGTAGTAAAAATTTCACTCTCTTCCGACTTTTATCATTTACATAGGAAAACTTTAATATACATGTATTTTATAAACGATGCCTAAAGATGTTAAATTAATGAATTGATGCTTAGAATACAGATGGAACTTAAGAGTCAATTGCGTTACCTTGGAGAACGCCATGTGAGAACAGAAGCACTCTTATATCAGTTGCTTGTGAAGTTATGACGTATGCAATACAAGAAATACTGCTTCCAAAAAACACCAGATTGCGGTAGGATGTTAGCTTGATTCCACACGTCATCACAAGAAAAGCTGCTCAAATAATCATTAATCACATATAAAGCATGAAGGTAACAAAATATTATATTTGTTTCTGGACCATGCCAGTCTGAACATCAGTCCAGTCTGGACACTCTCTATAAAACAATGTATAGGCAGCTCCATATCAGCTTGTTGGCTTAGAATGTCCTTAGATTAATCAACGAGAGCTCGAAATAAAATCTTTGCATAAACTTATAACAGTTAAAGGTCACGATATAATTTCAACAATTATATAAGCGTGACAACGACGAGTTTTATCAACACAAATTTCACAATACATTTCATTCTAACATTTACATCAAAGTTGTTTTTATATATCTGTATCTTTCTGAATACCGGGTATAGTATGTCATTTCTTCTTCATAAAGTTGATTTACCGCTTAAACTAAAATAGTTTAAACTTTACGCCTGTCTGACTGATTAATTCTCAAGGTTATTTCATGAACATGTAGTAAATTTCAACTTTGATTAACCCAGGGTTAAGACAGCGTGCATAATATAGTATCAATATTTTTATAGTTGAACATGTTCCATTTAAGTTTAAAATAAGAAAAATATACATTTAAGAGTAAAACAGTTTTGTGTTACATAAATAAGAAGCTACTGTGCATATTTTAGTCTTAATGTTTTTTCTGGTATTAAGATTGATTGATTGATTTTCTTTAGACCGGGTGGTCAAGGATAACCTACGAAAGTGCAAACACTTATTTCCAGTAGGGTCATTACCTCAGCAGACTGCTATTAGATACAAGGGAGTCCGGGAACAAGTCCCTAGCTCTTATTGAATAGATTCCTTGGTTCTTTTACATGCCCAGTGTATAGCACTGATACCTGCGATGATTACCTGGGTTTCGTACCAGTAAACCTCAAGTTAGGTGGGAAACACTGAAAGTGTTTCTGAAAAATCCCAAGTGGGTTACCTAAGAGTGACAGTCAGTGGTCTAACCAACTGAGCTATCGCGCCACCTAAAAGTAATCGCATTTAATTACTTATCAATTACAGTTTATCATTTCTTCAGACGACATACGTATTTAGTCCATACCTGTTAAACTTTGGCAAATGTTCTGTACGGTCGACAGTAAAGACGTCACGGATGAGCTAGAATGAAACTTTTCTTGGAAGGCAACAAACAATATTCCTGCTGACTTCACTATTCCAAGCTGCAAAAACATTTCTAGCGTTGCTCCTTGAAGAGACAAAGTATAAATATAAGGAATTTACCATGTAAAAAAAAACAACAAGTTGACACTACCGTATGATTACGATTGGTACAAACGTTCCTATAATGGGTATTTATCAAAATATAACTTTCATTATATATGTAAGTTAACAACTTTTCCAAGGTATTCATTACATTTATTCTATTTGACAATTAATCGTCAGCGATTTTAACTCAACGTAGGCAAACTTGTCCACTGTAGGAATATGACTTCAATGAGGCTGCATTTAGATTTTCAATTTGTAAAGTTATTTCGAATATCAGACTTCGAAGCAAATTAAGTTTGTTATAACTATTTCATACAATTATCAAAATTATTGATTCTTAAACCAATTAACATTTTACTCAACCGTTAATAATGCAAAATGGGGAAAATCATTTACTATTAAATTTCCGGAACAAATAAATTTTAAACTTATTAAACGCCCCTGGTAGCTTATTCAATAATTGTGATCTAAAATTTAATTAAACGCTTACATTATCGATTTTTGAATAGTCAAATATATTATGAATAAAGTGTGTACATCGATAATCTGCTACATATGAACACGACATTTATTTTAATACAATAAATATTTACGTGTTTATCATCATTTTTATAAATGTACATACCTAATAAAATAAACCACGCCCAGCCATGATCTTTTGGAACATGCGCATTTTGTGTAATCTGTTCTATATCAACATCGTCTGCTTCCTCATCCCAATGTGTGTCGTCTGCTTTTTTATCCGGATATTTATCGTCTGCTTCTCTATTCCAATTTTTATTTTCTGCTTCTTCATTCCAATTGTTATTGTCTCCATCATCATTCAGATGTTTCTTTACATTGAAACTATCATCCGCTATCTTGTCATCATTCATGTATTTATTCATATTTCCAGTTTATCATAAGTGTCGGCCACCACAGTTGAACGGCTGCTTAATGAAGAGTAAATCAATTTTACATTTTACATGTACATATATATGTAGTTAGCCTTATAGAGGAGCGTAGTTTAAACATTGACATTAACAGTGAGCGGTCTGCATTGTTTTTTTCTTATCTTAGTTAAATACGGTTTTCATCGGTTTAAAACAAGCGGTAATTTGCAAAGATTCTCTAGAAATACCAGTGATAATGATTTAAGTTTATTATAATAACTGTGTTTAAATTCAATTTTGCGAAAACTATTCTTTAAAGTATTGTTGACTATATTTCATAAGTTTAGTTTAAAATGTATATTAGGTCCATACATATAAGAGAACAATTTATAAATCAAACAGAACACTTTTTTTTGTTCACCTTCGATAAAATGTCGATGGAAATTTACTGCTGTAAAAACTATAATATATGCATTGCCGTGCTTCATACACGTGCTTATTCTAATATTTTAGCGATGATGTTATTATTATTTAATTGACAGAAACTAGTACATGAACTCTGGGTTAAATGTGCATTGTTCAAAATTATCTAAGGCTATCTTAAACTATCTTCATGGCAGGTCACTGTATTTTACAAAAGCAGTGTACTCAATACTGTATTCCAGTTATGAAATTCATATACTCAATGAAAAATGCGAACAAATACGGGACATCTAAATTTACAAGCTACAAGCTAAATTTACTGTAGGGAACATTAATTTTAAGCAATTCATATCAACTGAAAAGTTAAACACTATTCGACTGACCCTTATGCACAAATGTGGTTATGCACAAGCTTAAGTATGGCTAAGTATAATTAAGTAATAAAACATAAGATGCCGATTTATCTTGAGGATAACATCCTATACTTTCCGGTTTATAACGGCTGACATTTTTTCACTTTAAGTACAACAAAGTAACATCCTTCTATGAAAAATTAAATTTGATTATTATAACATGAACTCATTTTGCATGGTAATTGTTTTAGCTGTTCATAAGTGTGACAATTTGTAAAGTACAAAAGAGGTAAAAAGAGACTCATTTGTTTAAATCAGGATGACTGGTTTGCCAGTTTAAGATGACAGAAAACATTATAAGCGGTAATGCGAAGTTTCTTTTATTTCACCAGACAGATAGTCATAGGTAAATGTTTTTGCTGTTGATCACATCGCGTGATGCATTTTAAACGCGTCGACAATATTAATATGTTTTTTTATTCACGTTTTATCATCCAATCTTCATGTGAATTGTTGTTCAATAAAATTTCAAGGTTGCTCAGTTCTTTAGATATTTGAATGTTATAACATACTTTTCAACCTTTTTAAAAAGCATCTTGAGTCTCAAGTTACTTTATATTGCAAATTCAACATAACATATATGAACCTAGTATACACGAGGCATCATCTACTTTAATAAAAAAAATGAAAATCCTTAATCTATTATGTAGTGAAAATTTAATTCAGAACTTATTTAAACGATTTCGATAACAGTTATTGGAATAAAAACGATAATGAGGAATCAGATACACTCTGACATTGTTGCACCGTATACAGTTTTCGAGGTATATAGCTTACGCATAAGCCGTATATGTTCACTGTAACCTCGTATACAGCTTAAAACACATTTAGCTTATCGTTAGCTTTTTTCGACAAGATGCTGCATATCATCGTATACAATTCATATTTCATTACCAGTCTTTTAATCGTCCTCAATTTTTCGTCGAGACTATGACTACGCCTACGTTACGGCGGCAACTACTGTTGTGCAGCCGAAAAATGATAAAATTCATTTAAAAAAAAAGAATAAATATGCATGATGATTTTCTTTTAAACACAAATATTTATATATATAATCATTTTCTAAAAGGTCATATTTTTAAAACAAAATTTGTGAAATTTCAAATATGTTAAGTTACAAATTGTATATGTTTCAATAACAGATGTCAAATTTAAAATTATGTAACTGGAAGATTAAAATGCGGCTTTTCCTCTTTGTCCAATCAACTGTGCTAAAAGTTTTATTTGATTTTAAATAGACAATTTTATTAGTAGGATTAACTACTCTTAAAGCAGCTTTTCCATTTTCTACATGAACTAGGCATTTAGCACCTAAAATATGTTTTTGAGTTAATGACACTAAAGGTTCTAACAAAACATTTGAACCAGTTCTCACTCTTGATATTTTCACAGGAATATTAACTTCGGCCTGAGGGAGTATCTTAGTAGATCTTACAGTTCTAGCATAACCTGTATTTGTGCTCAGAGAACACACTTTCAAAAAGTCATGAATAATAAATTTTTTCGAGGCAATGTCCAAAGAAACCTTGTGTTTTTCCATAAAATCTATGCCCAAAATCACAGAATGATGTAAATCTTTGATAACATAAAATTTTGAAGCCAAGGTAACAGTCCCAAAACTTATATCTAAATTTACTTCCCCACTAACAGCATGATGTGTTCCACCAACCCCTACTATTGTTTTAATTTTTGACTCACTTATTTTGGGCTTCTTATCCAAGAAAGCTTTGTTAAAAAAGGACTCACTTAAACATGAAATTGATGCCCCTGTATCACACAAAGCACTAGTTTTTGTGTTATTGATACTAACAGAGACTGTGTTTCTAGTCATTATAGTTGAAAATTTTGGATCAATATATGACACATTAGCACTATCAGACTTTCTTTCATAAAATCTTGTTTGTTTTCCCTTAGTTTTAGCACAGTTGATTGGACAAAGAGGAAAAGCCGCATTTTAATCTTCCAGTTACATAATTTTAAATTTGACATCTGTTATTGAAACATATACAATTTGTAACTTAACATATTTGAAATTTCACAAATTTTGTTTTAAAAATATGACCTTTTAGAAAATGATTATATATATAAATATTTGTGTTTAAAAGAAAATCATCATGCATATTTATTCTTTTTTTTTAAATGAATTTTATCATTTTGAGTGTTATGCGCTGAATTATGGGTTCTACTTAAGGTGGATTTATCACAACACAATGTTCCGTTTTATATTTTAATGTTTCTTTCTTAGTGGAATACCACAGATAATATATACATGTTTATAACATATACACAGGTTATCCTGATGTTAACAAATTGATATTAAAAACAGTAACGATTATTTCTAGTGGAAAGCCACAATACAATGTTATCACTTGGAAATCCAAAATCTAACTGTCCCTGAATTTTCTACATGTATCTTTACAATAATTCTAAAATTGATTTCGTTTTAACTGACCAATAGAATTTTAACCTTTTTGTGTCTTAAATAACAAAATGACCAATCAGGTTTCAATACAAAATAATGTAACATAGCAACATAGAATTTATAACAACAATCATCACCTGGATATTTTATCAGTCATAAGGTTTAACAACATGATAAGTACAGACAGCTTAATTGACCTTATCACCTATACATTATAAAACTTTTAGCACAGTTGATTGGACAAAGAGGAAAAGCCGCATTTTAATCTTCCAGTTACATAATTTTAAATTTGACATCTGTTATTGAAACATATACAATTTGTAACTTAACATATTTGAAATTTCACAAATTTTGTTTTAAAAATATGACCTTTTAGAAAATGATTATATATATAAATATTTGTGTTTAAAAGAAAATCATCATGCATATTTATTCTTTTTTTTTAAATGAATTTTATCATTTTTCGGCTGCACAACACTTCTCCCTCCTTTAAGACTATTTCACTCCTGTGAAATGAAGCATAAATACTATTTAACAAAAATAAATATCATTAAATCAGAATACTGTTTACATAAGATATTCAGTTACAGAAATATATACTTGAATATAAAGCACCGATTTTGCTGAAAAGCGTAAGTACCATTCACTAATAATAAATATCCTAATCACTGTCTTATTGTAAACAACACAGTCTTAATGACGTCTATTTCTGTTGTATTGTCCCCTCTGTCCTTGTTGTGTTCCATGATGATATTGACCTCTCCATTCATGTGGGAACACGGTTTCGCATGTACTTGAAATATCTTGATTTCTGTTTCCTCTTTTCCGACATAGATATTTAGTTTTGTCTTTCAAATGAGCAATCTCGTCTCTTAAGTTGTGGTTTTCATTTTTAAGGTCATCTATTTGGTCGTTTTTCCTTGATTCTATCATTTCTATTTCATAAGCTTTCTGGTTGTGTTTCAGTCTCAGTTGTTCATAATCGTCATTTAGTTTCTTAAATTCTAATATAAGTTTGTCCATTATCTCTAGTTTTGAAGAGTCAGTCCGAATTTTTTCCTTTAGCGAGTTGTTGTTTTGAAAAAATGTTTCTTTAAGTTGACTTATTTCTAATTTCTTTAGGGAAACCTCATCCTGTAGTTTTTCATTAAAATCCTTAAGTCTTTGATTTTTAAAAACAAGGGCCATATTTTCTGCTTTTAAACCGTTAATAGTTTTAGTCATTGAATCGGTCAATGATTTCAACTTCTGAAATTCTACTGTTGAAACATTACTCACGGAGTTGTTTGTTTGGCTCTTCTTAAAGAAGGCATCATCTTCATTGTAAAATGGTAATGTATTTTCGGCTGTCTTGCGTCTTATAAAAGTTGTCATACGTTGTTGATCGCGTTGTTTTGATTCGCTTGACTTTTGACTTACTGCTGGACGTAGACAAACTCGTGCAAAATGTCCAATTCTATAACATTTGTTGCATCTTGCCATTTTTGCACAACTCTTCTCCTGTCTGTTATTATGATAAAGTCCACATTGTCCACATGATTTTTCACTTCTGAATGGTATTCCATATGTGAAACTCATTGTTGTTCTTCTTGGGGAATTGGAATTCGTAGTCTCGCTTGCTAAATTGAGAGGTTGGGAAAGACGCTAATTTCCGCCACGTGTTATGCGCTAAATTTGTAGTTCTACTGAAGGTGATTGTATCACAACACAATGTTCCGTTTTATATTTTAATGTTTCTTTCTTAGTGGAATACCACAGATAATATATATAACATATACACAGGTTATCCTGATGTTAACAAATTGATATTAAAAACAGTAACGATTATTTCTAGTGGAAAGCCACAATACAATGTTATCACTTGGAAATCCAAAATCTAACTGTCCCTGAATTTTCTACATGTATCTTTACAATAATTCTAAAATTGATTTCGTTTTAACTGACCAATAGAATTTAACCTTTTTGTGTCTTAAATAACAAAATGACCAATCAGGTTTTCAATACAAAATAATGTAACATAGCAACATAGAATTTATAACAACAATCATCACCTGGATATTTTATCAGTCATAA